ATAAAGGTCTACCATGGATCGGTCCTTTCCACAAGTTCCCTTCTAAGGATGTGTACAAGAAGTTTGCTGAATGGGTAAGGTCCCCATGGACGCTTCTGACGATGTAACTGAATGATAATAGCACGAAGAATATGGTCCGATCTACCAGTTCACTCTCTTCGGCGTTAAACATATCCGTGTCAACAGCGAGAAGGTGTGTCAGGATCTTCTCGCAAGGCGTGGAGCATACTATTCCAATCGCGCGCCCACACCCAACATCCCAGGCGCCAAAACTGATGCAGAATATCTTCCTCTCTTAGACAACAATGGTGAGTATCTATCGATTCATCTTCGGATGTCGCTGACTGATTATGCAGCGGCACTTACAAGGCACCGTAAATTCGCTCACCAATGTCTGTCCGAGACCTACAATTACGACATGTTCGGCTTCACGCACCTCGAGATCACGCGGATGATGGTTTCGTTGATGAAGGACAATCGCAACTACCCCGATCTCGCCGAAGAGTTCACCCATCGTGTGAGCGCACGCCTCGCCTGGGAAGACCCCAAGCTAAGTCGTGGGCTGAACCGAAGCTCGGCTGGCCTACTTGCTGCCATATCTCCAGCAGGGAAGCTACCGAACAGGTTTCCAGTCGTTCAGAAGTTACCTAACTTGATCAACCCTTGGTATTGGCAGGAGAAGGCGCGCCATGATGCCCAGAGGGAATTCTGGGTCGGGGCCATGCAATCCGTCAAGGCCAAGATGGACGCTGGTATTCCTGGTCATTCCTGGTCTCGCACGTTCTTCAAAGACAAGGAGCGCTTGAAGTTCCCCGATGGCGTCCCAGACGAGAAGGAGGGCGCTTTCGCGATAGGCATGCTTGCTATCACAGCATCACTACCCATGTCTTCGCCCATCCAGACATACTACCTCGCTATGTGCCATTACCCCCATTGGCAGAAGCGACTACAAGACGAGATCGATGAGGTTTGCGGCCCTGACCGTCTACCCACATGGGCCGACGCACCGAAGCTTCCGGTTCTGAGAGCGATCGGCAAAGAGCTGATCCGCTGGAGACCGCCAGTCCCTACAGGCGTTCCCCACGAAGCTGAGAGGGATGATGAATACGATGGATACTTCATCCCGAAGGGTGCGCTCATCCATGCTACCGAGTGGGCACGTCGGAGTGACGAATCCCTGTATCCCAACCCGGAAGAGTTCAATCCAGATCGCTATCTAAACCCCAAATACCCCACCTACAAGGAGCCTTTAACGAAGTACCCCAACGTCATCAACCACCACGTCTTTGGATATGGTCGTCGCAATTGCTTGGGTATGGAGATTGTAGACTACCAACTGGTCACAATCATGGGCTCTCTGGCTTGGGCATTCAATGTCACCAAGAAGAAAAACAAGATTGGAATTGGTACACATCCCGCTGTTTGACACGTCGTTCTAATGCTGACATAACAACAGATATACCCATTCACACAGAAGACTGGACAGACTTGCTCATCACTCGCCCGGAAGTGTTCGTCTTCGACATCAAACCAAGAGATGCGTACAAGGAGAAGAAGCTTGTGGCCATGTATGAGGAGGCTTTGGTGGAACATCCTGATCTTGCTATCTGAACAGCTCTTCTTCCGAAGACCTTGGTGGTCTCGTACACTACGCCCTGACTGTCTACCATACCGTTACGTCTCTTTCCCTTCTCTCTATAGCGTATTTCTGTAGTTTCGCTCCTTGCGTACCAAATATAACACTTTGTCTATCCTCCAATATTGGCCCACAATTTTCTCGTGTTAGTGTTCTAGTGAGCAGTCGTGCGCGTTGCCCACGCTTTGCGAGAGCCTCTTTCTTCGTCATTCCTATTTAACCTACACATGCTTATCACTTCGTCGAAGCATGCGCCATATCCCTCACGTACGGACAGTAAGGCGTGGAACAGCGTGTACCTCGCTGATGGCACTAAGAATGGGACAACGTTCATAAAGGTAACCGCGAACACAGCTATGTGTGTTTGATTCGCTACCGACCGACTCTCACCATCGCCTAATGACAAGAGCTTTGGTCTCCCTTGGAAATCTCCTGATATCACGCTGATTATGTTGGCACATTGCCACTTATCATGTCTATAGTAGCTGTACACCAAACGTGTCAAATCAACACGCCGAAATCCGCGTATACCGCAATCACGGTCATCAGAAGCGACCCAAGCATGTTGTCGTTTTCTGATAGTGCATTGGTTGCGAATTTGGCGTGATGCCACCGGCGCGTCGCGTCCAAAGCACGCGCCCCCAACCACCACCAGCATGAAGAGGACGTCCGCAAAACATCGGTGCGATCGCTCTAGCTGACTAAAGATATGCGCGACCCCGATGCAGTAGCTCGCATCAACTCAAGAGGTGCTGACAAAACACCGAGGCCTTTGTTCGTGGGAGTGGCGCTTGTCCGCTAGCGCCGACGGAACTCCGTGCAAGAACGGAAGCGACCAAGGAGGTCCTTCCCCAACGCAGACCAAACACTCCAGCGGGCTCCTCGCATGAAGATGATTTTCGTCCGTCCTCGCACTTCGGGACTGGGGCCGTTGAGGGAGGTTGATCATGCTGCGGCATGGTTGAGACTACTATTTGGCTAATAACCTGCGACGTGAAGCATCAGTAGTACAACCATCAAGCACCGTCGTCTCATTTTTCTTCATATCAGCTGCCAAAATCTTGCAAACATGAAGGAAGACGTTCTTAGACGCCCAGACGAGGAGAAAGATCTCCATTCCACGGAAGGATCGCTCAACACAGGGTCGCTGAATACAGGGGAGGAGAAAGAAGAGCTAGCGCATATCCAGTTGACGAAAGGACGATTCGTACTCGTACTCGTGGGCCTGGTCTTAGCCATTTTCCTTGTTAGCAACATTTCCACCCATGAATGCGAAAACCAGAAACTGACCCATCGCTGCAGGCTTCCCTAGACTTTGTAAGTACGAGCACCGAGTATCTTTTCTTCGACCCTTTCCAAGCAAGGCCTAATTGAACGCGCAGACCATAATCTCGACAGCCATCCCCAAGATCACCGATGAGTTCAAGAGTCTCCAAGACATCGGCTGGTATGGCTCGGCGTTCTTCATCACCACAGCTGCGACTACAGCGTTCTGGGGACGACTGTACACTTTCTTTCCGCTGAAGTGGACGTATCTCATCTCCATCTTCTTCTTCGAGTTGGGTAGTGTGATCTGCGGTAAGACTAGTTCTTTTGTAATTTCTGACGCGGTTGTCTTCTCCCTTCGAGATCAACAGCATACTGATGGTTTACGTGAACAGGTGCCGCTCCAAGCTCTGTAGCTCTAATTATCGGTCGCGCGATATGCGGTGTCGGTGCCGCTGGACTGTTTTCTGGCTCGTATACCATCATTGCCGTTCTAGTACCCTCAGCAGATCGCCCCAAGTACAGCGGATTGATGGGCGCAGCATACGGTCTCGCCAGTGTCGTCGGTCCGTTGATCGGTGGCGCTTTTACTAGCCACGTCTCATGGCGCTGGTGGTTCGTTACGCCTTGTCGCAAAAGCCTTTGGAGGGTCTCGCTAACAGCTTCGCAGCTTCTACATCAACCTTCCCGTAGGCGGCGTTTCGTGCCTCTTCATCCTCCTCTTCTTCGCCAACGAACCACCCAAAACTCGCCCTGACTGGCGTGGCATGCTTCGCACACTCGATATGCCCGGTTTGATCCTCATCATCGGCGCAATCGTTTGCTTCATCCTTGCGCTGCAATGGGGTGGTATCTCCAAGGCTTGGAACAGCGGTGCTGTGATTGGCACCCTGGTGGCCTTCGTTGTATTGATGGCTTTGTTCGTGGTCGATCAGTGGTGGCTGGGTGAGAACGCCATGGTTCACAGCCTCATCATCCAGAGGAGAACTATCTGGGTCGGATCGTTGTTCTCGTTTCTGATCAACTCTGCCTTCTTGGTCACGTTCTACTACTTGCCGATTTACTTCCGTAAGTGCGCTGAGCTACACATTTTGCCGACCATGACTAATGATGAATAGAATCTGTGCAGGGCGTCTCAGCAGCATCAAGTGGTGTTCGCACTGTACCCTTTATCCTCGCAGTCAGTAAGTAGACCATCAACATCCATCCTCTCCTTCAAACGCTTACAACGTTTGCAGCCATCTGCGTCGTGATCGTTGGCCAGATCATCACAAAGACCGGCTACGCATATCCATGGATGATTGGAGGAGCGGCCATAACAACCATCGGTGCCGGCATGATCTACACGTTCGATGTCGATTCACCCGCCAAAGTCTGGATTGGATACCAGATCCTCTGTGGTATCGGTATCGGAGTAAGCTTCCAGGTCCCTGTCATGCTCATCCAGGCGACCACTAAGGAAGTCGATGTGCCTTTAGCCACAGCCACACTTCTTTGTAAGCCACATTCCTTCGTTGCTATCCTCAACGCACTACTAACGAGCGCTGCAGTCATCCAAACCCTCGGCGGTGCTTTTGGTGTCTCGTCCGCTCAGGCTGCCTTCCAGAATACGCTCCTCAAGCAGCTGCCCATCACAGCACCAGGTCTCGACCCCCAGATCGTTCTGGACGCCGGTGCTTCCGAGCTCAAGACGCTGATTCCAGCGCAATTCCTCGAGGGAGTGCTTGAGGCCTATGTGGCTGGTTTCCGCGAGTGTCTCATCGTTGGTATTGCGTTCGGTGGTGCCGCGTTCCTTGCTGCTTTCGGCTTCCGCTACACAAACATCAAGAGAACGGCTGCGTTGGAGGCGTAAAAGGAGAGTATGTTCAGGACTAAGTTGGGGAGAGGCGTTCTTTTTATTATAAATGATACCTCAAAAAGATTGTCAGTAGCATTGTACTAGATTGTAATTAGCGTATCGACGGTTGTATGTGCTTGCGCAAGGTCAAATGTACTCTAAACATGTACATCCAACACGTCGACAATTTCCGTATCAACTTGCGCGATACATATATGTGCGAGGGCTCCTGCAGGGCGCATAGCCAGTGGTGACAGGGCTTTATACAGGCCCACCAAAGGCATTCCACTGACCGAGAGCACCCCAATCATCCGCAGCATCACTAAAGTTTCCATTTCCATTCCCGTTCATGCCAAGTGACATTCCCATGCCGGGGAATTCCATGCCTCCTTCAAAACCATCCAACCCAGCGCCGGAGAAAATGTCCAGATCCAGGTCAAGCCCAAGCTGAGCACTCGCTGGGGTAATCTCTTCCGCGGGCCGGGTGTCCAAGACTGTGTCAATGACCTTGGTGAAAATCTTGCTCGCCTTGCGAAAGAGGTTATAGTTGGCTTCGCCGTGCCTAGCTCCAGAGTTTTCCATGTGTGCGGCTGAATCAAGATGTGATATGAGCACGCTGAGCATGCGAATGATCTCCGCGCGGGATATTTCAGCGGGGAATTGCTGGCCTGTTCGATGTTGCTCGCGCAATGCTGTAGCAAGTACCGACGCTGCGGGTACACCAAACAGCAGTAGGGCGTTGAGCATGTCGCGTTGAACATCGTAAGATCGATCGCGTATTCTACCCAAGGTAAGTGTATTGCAAAGAAGATCAACAGAGACGCGCAGTAGGGCAGTGTTGAGCGTCAATGGGCTGTAATCGAGCAGCTTTTGGATCATGAACTCGTTGTACCAATGCGTGAGGTGTATGATGGACAGCATCAGACAGATTACCGTGGGAACGTCGTCTTCCCAACAGGTCTTCCAGTATCGCATATGTTTGGGTAGCGTCTCCCAGGAAGTGCGTACACGCTCGGATATGTCTCTACAGACTTGTTAACAGAAGCCAAAGCAGGGTCATCGTGGCATACGCACAGTAACTGAGCTTCCGCGTTTGCATCTATCTTAACGAGCGAGAATTCCAGGATTTCTTCGCGACTTCGGAGGGATATATGACGTAAACGCTGATGTACGTTAGCTGAGGTAACGAAACCAGCCTAGGTGCAAGACTTACGATCCAAGACGCTCTCAACCATCTGCCTTTGGTATTCCATCCGTCTTCGTCCAACGCTGCGATGGCAGAGTTCAAGGTCGCCTGGTCACCGGTGACTTCATTATCGGCCAGGTCGAGTGGAAGCTCGATGTCAGTGTGTCTCTTGCTGATACGTATCGGACGGCCAAGGAAGGTGGATATCGACTTGTCCTGGTTGTACGCTGAACAGAAAACCCTACGGCGTGTTTCCGTCAACCATTTCGGAGCATGAGCACATTTCTTCTCTTGATGTATACCCAGTGCATATATCTGGGTCGACAGTTCACCTATCCGTCGCCAGCTGGGTGGACCTTGGTAGCCGCAGATCATGATTGTAAACAGGTAGTTTTCGTAATACATCCAGATCGTTATGTCGTTGACTGTCGCAAGCATCGTTGTGAGAAAAAGACAGGTCGTACTCGCGCGAAGTAGCTCATCGGCAAAGTGTAACTTCATGTCCTTGTTGGCAGGATCACTGAAGATATCCGGAACGAAGCCGAACGTCAGCGATCGCCCGGCCGTCGCGAGGAGAAAGCCGATAGTTTCGAATCGTAAATTATCGCCAGAACACAAAATGTGAAAGTCGTGTGCTTCCATTGACTGTGATACTGTGAAAGGGCGTGCAGTTGTCTCGAGTACTTGGCTTATTAGCAGAGAACTGGGTTTCTTCCGCCGAAGGTCGTGCTTGTCAACAACAGCTTCTAACGCATTCACGGCGTCGACCTGAACCTGGGCAGGTATCACACCTGCTTCATTCGTTGCATTGTACCATAGAACAAGCTCTTTGATTGCGTTGTAATGGCGAAGAGTGCTCAAAACGTCACAAGCCATCTGATATCGCATGGACTTGGACAGGGTGTGCTGGTGTGTAAGTTCGCGATCTGATCGTTCTGATGCAACAGACTCCTCGCGTTCACGCATCTGACCGGGTTCTTCATCCTGAGGAAGAAGTACAGCGTACGAGCCAGGCCCGAGGAACCCAGGGTGATATACATCAGCAGCAACGGCATCCGCAAGTTTATCACCATGCGATGGAGACGCTGGGGCAAAAGCGGCAACAGCATCCGAAGCCTGCTTCGAGGGTCGTCTGTTCGAGTCAAAATACTGATGTGAATGTATTTCCAAATATATGCATACTTTCTTTTGGGAGGACGGGCTTCACCTGTTCCTGACTCATCGGCACTCTGACGCTGTCTGGTGAGAGGTGCTGGGTGGTAGAAGCAGCGTTCTTCAATACCACGTTGACGACATCGATCACACTTCGGATGTCCATGATCACACTTGGTTTTGTTCAGCCTGCATGGTTCGCAGGATGCTGGCTTGCCGTTGCGCCTACTGCTGCCGGCGTCCCTGTTGGTTGGTTAGCAAATGGATAGTTTTAGACTCAACGCGTGAATTACATGTCGATAACTGCACCGATTGTGTGCACGGAAGGATCCTCAATTCATGTGTGTGTGACATAATCTCGGAAACACGCGTCGGTGAGTTCGTCATGTCTGTGGATGGGCGCAGGCGAGATTGTGACGCGGGTTGCCTAAGCGCGAGGTGTCTTATCGATAAGCGACGCGTGCAGCCCGTGACGCCCTCTCCTCCTCCCGAGGTCCTTGACTGCCACCACGCATCCATCGCTACGCGCCGGCACACATGCATGATCATGTCAGCCAAATATCAGCCTCCGCCTGGTCGAAAGGGGCAATGCCGCCCTGATGGGCTACTCCCCTCCGATGCACAGCCTCATGAACAGCCGAACAGCCTTTGTAGGGAAAACCTTCCATATGCGCATTCAGCCATCTATTGCCTTCACTCTGGCATAGTAATCGAGGCTTACGGGTTGCCCAATATACACAATGGGCATGCTTCTACGGCCTCCTCCACTTGATCCCCTCCGAATTCGCCTCGCGCACGCCTTGGGCTTCCCGAATTACCCCAACGATGACACCGTCGAACCGTACATCAACTACCTTCTGAACCAGCACGATGCTCGTGGTACTCCAGAATACGAAGATCTTCTCATAACCATAGTACAATACTTCCATGGCCCTCAGCCCCTTGGTTCAATGAAGAGGAGCATTGAAGGGCTGCTACACTCGCTATCCAACCACCCGAACACACAATGGCACGAAGAGGACACGGTAGTGCGCGCTATTGGCAGCTGCACACTGTTACTGAGCTCGTTCACCGATCTACCAACGGTAGCCGGTAAGCTCCGAATGGTGACGGCAAGCTACAATCTGCGCATGCACGGAAGCCTGCTGGGTGGCCAGCCATACTTCGAGAGCTTGGCAGAATTGGTAGCGGGCAGCGGCCTGTTACCAGCGCCTGTTGCATTTGCCTCTGTGGTGACCATGGCAGATTTAGAGTCTTTGGAGTCGCTCTTTGTTGACGCCACCCACCTCAACGCGTACAGGTTGACTGTGTTCGGAGCAGTGGAAATCACCTGGACTCACAACATCTCCCGGCACCTCCTGCTATCGAACCGCAACGGACGTCGCATACTTGAGATCTTCGCGCTACCATGCGCCTTAGATGCCGCCCCCCTTAGGATGGTCGGTGTCGGTAATGAGCTGGCGCAAGAGGTCATGGAGTCATACAGCTTGCTATTCAACGCCTGGCCCTCATTGGGTCCTCATGCTAAGCTTGGTTTATGGGTACGTGTTTCTCTACGAACTGCATATGGAGCATACACTGACTTGGTATACCTATATACAGCGGCGATGTTGCCCATGTCAGCCATGTTCTGCTCGACGATACCGCAATCGCGCGATCAGCGATTACCAAGCCTTTAGTCGACTTCAACGTAGCAGCGAATACGACCCTAAGCTTCCTCACCTCATGAGCGCCATAAATCAGCAGCCGATCGCATGGACACCTGGTATATTCCCTCACCTCTGGTCTCGAATCATGATCCTAGATGAGCATCTGCAGCAGGCGAAGCCATGGAGCATTTGGGTCTTGTTTCGTAACCGTAACGATACCTTGCAATTCTGGACGTTCTTGTAAGATACTCAACACTGTTGCACCTCATAAAACTGACAATATGCAGGTTCGCTACGATCGTGGTCTTCATGACCGCTGTTCAGGTCTTGCTTGGCGTCGCACAAGTCGTGGGGTCGTTCCGCTAATGAACGACATCGGAAGCATTCAGCCTCGTATCACGGGCGGCTAGCCCCCACCCGCAGGTATTGCGAAGATCCATGGTGCGCGTTCGCTTATGCGCCTGCCTGACTGGTCGCGACGGAGAACACCATGATTGTGCAGCTGGCTTGTCTCCAGCCTTTGATGCTGTTGCGAAAACCGGATCTGACACGCTGTGTTCTAAAGGTACTATTTAACATGGATGAAGCTTACTTGCTACGATGCCTTTCTCCCCGATCCTTTACCGCCTATAACTTGTGTCGTATCTTCCAGCCACACGAGCAAGATGCAGCTATCGCCTGAAGCCCAAGGCTATCGCCAGCATATACTCAACTACGCTGCACGTTCATATACTCGCACGCTTTTCTTTGGCTATCATTACAGATTTCTCGCTGAGCTGCTCCGAGCTGATGAGGCACATCTACCCAAGCAATACAGTGACCTTGAAGCGTATCATCTTGGCCATTTATCTGTGTATGGGCCGCCTTGTCATGGCTCTGAGCAGTATCAACGTCATAGTTACAAATATTCTCAGTTACAGGACCTAGTCGCAGCTCCGCCTCCGAGCAAAGGGCAAGGACAGGTCCTTTTCCTCAATGGACATCTTCCAGGGTCTTGGATATGTGAAGTGGGCGCGAAATACAATATCGCTCCCGAGTTCTTTCGGCAGCATATTCATCTTTGGCGCTCGACTGACGGGCCTGTTCTTCACGCAATCACGAGAAGCCCATATGCCACTTCGAACAAAGGGCTCCTACTGCGTCTTAACACCCAGGGAAACTTTGGCAAGAACAAGCTGCCTGCAGACTCATTCAGTAGCTTGATCTTGCAAGCGCGACGAAGGCTTCTACCCGACGACGTTGAGTGGATGCCCAGACGTTTGGCCGCAGCTCCTGGCTGTTCGTATGTAAGAGGCCATGCATATCTTAGCAACCTTCAATTTGTCATCGAGCAAGATGTGTCCATCACCGTTGAGTCAAATGGAGGCGGCTGGACTGGTGAGCGACCTGTCAAACCTTGATTTCGTTTCGTCACCGCTTACCATATGTATCAGCAATCTTGTGGACAGATGTCGGAAGCAGAAATCTCTCTCATAGCCGCACTTACCATCATTTCGTCGAGTATATGGCGGCCAAGACAGAAACAGGACGCCGAGACATCCGCTTATTACCTGTACATTTGCTGGGACAGGAGTCGACGATCAAACATCCATGGCCGCTGCCCGTCCCCGATCTCGATATCACGCAAGACACCGATGACTCGCTCTTCCAGACAGCGTCCCATCTACCATCAGAGCTCCACGTAATGCTTGATGATCACGAAATCGCAGGGCAAGATCCGCTATACGCACTTGCACCTATCCTCCTGTTCGCAGCTGCCTCAGAGATCCAGCTACTATCAACACTTCAAAAATGGTACGACATTATCGCATCGACGAAATGGGATCGGAAGTACTCAACCGAGCATCTGGAACAACTCATAATGCACAAACACCTCCTGGATGACCACGCAAGTCGACATGAAGAGGTTCTCCGATTCATCAGTTCACCAAAGCTGGCTCGATGGCCGGTCAACCTTACACAAGACCAGAGCGATGTAGCTCAGGAAGCCAAAGATGCGGTCAAGGCCGACTTTGAATTCCTTCGATCAAGATGCCGCCAGCTTTCGTTGCACTACCAGGAAGCGATATCGATCCTGGTCAGCGCCACTTCACTGGCAGAGTCGCAGAAACAGATTACGCTTGCTACCCAGGTCACGAAGCTCACCATACTCGCGACCATCTTTCTACCACTCTCATACTGTACTTCGATATTCGGCATGAACTTCGTGGAATTGGAACAGCTGAACATATGGATATGGGTTGTTGTCACCGTGTCGGTTGGGCTTGCGACTTTCGCTATTTATCAGTGGGATGAGAGGCAAAGACTGTGGGGGTTTTGGGCCACGGTGAAGGCCAAGTTTCAATTGGTGCGCTGGCAACACGATCTTTCAACGACAGTATAACCTCGGAAAATCGCACAAACGGTTACGATCAGTATATATGGTACTTCTTGAGTTCGGCGGGGACTTCGAACGCTCCATAGAACGCAACTCTGCCAGCTCTTAATCGCCGCTCCAGTGCATCACCTTCCATCTCGAAATTCTGCACATGACCACTGCGCTGTACAAAGCTTTGGAAGCCTACGACACCTGGGCCTTCGGTTCCATCGGTCCTCGTTCCATCCGCATAAAGTGCAGTGCCGCTATGGCCGTTCGGTGGGTCGAAATCAGGATAGACACGGTACAGGATTGCGCGTGACACGAGATCCTTCCATGTTGCCGCATCGTGGTGTTTGAGACTCTTCGAATTGCCCGCTGCAGCTTTCTGGTTCAGGAAGATGCCTTCGCCTACCACAAGGATGTCTGATGGACGACTGCATTTGATGCTTTTTGCTGCCTGTGAGCCTCTCGCGGACTCTGAGCTTTCGGCATCAGCTAAGATCTTGATGGTTGTCGTCTGCTGGCGGAGCGAAATCCACGAATCGTGGTTGAGCCAACCGATACCGCTGATAGGGGACGCGACATCTTTCACCAAAGTCCGATGCGCGGGTTTGATGAGAGTGATGTCGTGGTTGAAGCCGTTCGGATAAATTCTCGCTTCCTGGTCAAAGCTTTGGTGGATCGTTCCGCACTGATGGATATGTTAGCATGAAAGCGCATCGACAGTAGTGCACGATGATACAGCCATGCTGTACGAGTATCATCGGCGTGCTCAGTATACTAACATTTCCACCGCCAGCCCAGATTTCAACATGCTCATTCCAATCATCTCTTAGTTTCTGGACTCGTTCATCATGTTTCCGGCCAAGTATGCTGTCGCGATGCGACTTTGCAAGAATCGCTTCAGTGATGACGTGGGTGGACATCAATATGAGTGGGATGCCAGTTCGGCTCACTTTGAGCGCCACGCGTCCAGAAAATTTCTCATTTCGGTGGTTAGATTTCGGGCGGGCCTCTACAAAGTCGTTCAGCTTTAGCGACGGTCTGTTTGTGAGGGATTGAGCTGACGAGCGTGCGGCCGGAGATGAGCCCGGTGTGCCTAAGGGTACGAGTGATGATCTGTCAAATGTCCTCCCGGTAGTCTCTGTCCTTGTCGGTAACATGGTGGGCTCGAGGATCTGTTCAATGTAACAGACCTTGAGACCGCCATATTTATGCGGAAGATGTGATGACGCCCAGGTTGTGTCGAAGTCCTCTGGTACCATGATCTGGAGTAGACCATTTATCAGAACATAGAAACCAACGCTGCCCTGGAACGTAAGAAAAATATCTTGGACAAGGTCCAGTGATATTTGGGCTCGACAATCAATTGGTGCCGCAGGTCGCGGATCTGGAGGTGGCGTCACTCCGCTAATGGGAGGCCAATGATACTCCACTGGAAGTACCAAGGGCGCATTTGCAATGGCGAGGGGATATTGTTTCGGCTGATCTGGTTCCATAGGAGTGCAAGTCCAACAGCCAGCCTGACCATCGTGTCTGGTATAAGTGACATGGTATTCAACATCCCACTTCCAGTCGCCAGGAAGCCGGGACTGGATATCTAGCCAGTTTTGGGATGACGATGTCTCCAAAGACATGTAATCAGACAGGCAAGCAGATAAGCGGGCTTTGTGGGAAGCAGGAACGACATCTTGGCTGTTGTCAAGTCCGCGACTTGATTCGACTGTGGCCTTCCTAGCTTTCCAAGCTGACTGGAGTTCCTGAATTTCCCGGAATCGTTCGAAAGACAGCCTTGGATCCTCTTCACGAATCGTAGATGACGGAGTTTGAGGTAGGTCGGCATAAACGTGCCCAAGATTATCGGAAGCGTCAAGGGATTGAACTTTACGTGAAGGGTGATTAGGAAGATGAATCTCCAATTCCGAAGCCCTTGGTACTGGGATGTCAAGGTACGAAGATCCCATCCATTCTCGCGCATGTTTGTCGTTCTGATTGGGTGCGCCTTTGACTCCAGTCGGCCCGTGGAGAGACTGCGGCTGGTTGTGGAAAGGCTGCGGCTGATTTTGGAAAGGCTGCAGCTGATTGTGAAAATTAAAAGGCTGCAGCTGATTGTGAAGAGGCTGCGGCTGATTGTGGAAAGGCTGCACCTGATTATGCGCAGTGGGATAAACATAAGGTGACGGAAAGGTCCACGCCATATGCGGTGTCCCATGCGGAGATCCATGCGGAGATCCATGCGGAGATCCATACGCAGGCTGCGTAGTTTGATAGCTGCTCCATGGTGGAATCTCGGCGCTGTTGATCTTAGTGGAAGAGGTTAGGTGAGTATTGCTCTCAGGTCCGCCTCCCTCTATGGGCTCGCGGTGGATCTTTGATGACCCTGACTCGTCTGCGGTGTGTGGCCCCGACGATTTGCGTTGCCAAATTGTTGATCCGTCGCTTGGATCGATACGATAATGATCTTGATGTCGGTCGCTCCATTTCCAAGATAACTTGTATGGATTCATCACTGATGGAGTTTTCGCTCTGCGGTCCAAGTTTTCGACGTTTACGAGCCTATTCTTTGCAACACCTGCTGATCCTTTTCAGTCTCTCTGTATGCTCCGTATGACTTTCATACGACCAGGCTTCTAGTGGCTCGTGGAGATCAGACCAAGGCTGAGATATGAACACGCATACCAGAATGACGAAGAGACAGGCAGCGTCGAGTACGTGCTGAAAGAAGAAGATAAGTAGATTTACAGAGAGGAACTCGATATTAGAGACAGAGTGATAAAAGTGGCTTTTGGAAGCAACGGTGACAGTCGTAAAGTTGGTAACAATAATACCAGGCTGGAGTGCTAGCTTATGCCCGGCGCGCCACCGCGTCAGCGCAGAGATGCAGCATATCGGCACTGTTGTCCAATGAGGCTGCGCCGCAAAAGATATGAGCGCCTCGCTAACGTCGCGGTCTGTACCAAAGCCATGTAACATCACCACGACAGCGCTTTACTGTATCGAATATGCCATGCTATCACTTGCGGCGCGCCTGTTGTTCCTGAGCTCATCATAGGTACCATCAACGCAAGCAGACGCATGAATCACAGACTGCGCTCTCACGCCAGCACCACTGAGTATCCGCAACTCCGGCTGCACAAGTCCCAATACGACGGAATCTTCGTCCTCCGCCTGTGCCATTGCTATGGTGCATCTCACGAGCCTTCTACTTTGCGACGAGCCTGCTGTGTCCGAAGTTCTGAAACTCCCACCGACTTGCCAAAAGCACGTCTGTCTGCGAGTCCTCGCTCCCTCAGTGAACCAATAGAGATAGGCATTTGATATCTTCCACATATCAGTGAATACAACGGCGGATACCCCGTAGGTGTCGTCAAGAATTGTGTGCCTTCCACTTCACTGCTGGGGGTATCGCGAGAGAATCGGAGACGATCCTGATCGGGTCAAGCGGCATTGCGGCGGTATCGGCCCTCCGCGGGTGGGCCAGATCTGGACTTTGCGCGCACTCGTAGTCGTTCTTCGTCTGCTTCGCGTGCAATCGGGCGTTCGATGTGTGTCTAGGACTGCTGCCACACTGGCATTAGCTCAGGACTCGCAACGTCGAGACGAAGCTTCAGGAACCCACGTCGTCGGTTGTCTACTTACTACAACACGTCAATTCGTCAAGTTCGCGTTGAATTCTTGCGATAAAGCCGTGTGCAGGTTCCAGGATTAATGGATAGCCTTCCCATCGGAGCGCGTTCACAGTCGCGTCATCCGACGCGTAAAAGGCGGCTTCATACGGCGGTAGTGGCTCTCACGAGATCTCGTGATTGATGATAGACATAAACTTGTTAAAGTTGGAAGAAAGTTTCCAGAAAGCCGGAGGCATTCTCGTAAGGTCCTGGAGCATGTCAGGTGTAGTCGAGCCACCGTTGGTAGCAATGACGATGGCATCGCCGCCCATCAAGTGGGGCGGCCAACGGTGGCTTGTGCGCTTTGTGCCTTGCGCAACGCCGATCCCAGGGCACCTACACCATGCCCAACATTTTTCTGCTGCGATGAACAGCGATGGTGGTGGAGAACGTATACTGCGCCGCAATGCTGCAGATGATGGTCGTGATGGTAGCTGTCTGTGCACGCGCACTGCTTATGCACAGCAAACACTCGTTGCGCGACCATCACCATCATTACCACGATCATGAGACGCTTCAAGACCCCGTCTTCATGTTGCAGGCGCGCGTTTCTGTCGACAAATGCCGGCCTGCAGAATACAGACCACCGCGAGTTGTTCGAGTTTACTTCTGGTAGATGGATGTATGCCACCTCACATCATTTCACTCACTCAACTATTGGCTGACATGAACATGTAGTGTCAACGAGTCTTTGCGCATGGCTGAACGCCGCTTAGTCTTCAACGTCTCCGAACTCAAGAAGGTAGCTGCGAAAGCACTAAACAGACCAGCCTCAGATGTGCACGCGATAAAGAAGATCGCCGAAGGCGGTTTCAATCGCATACTCGAAGTAACGATGAATGATGGCTCGTCGGTACTTGCCCGTCTTCCATACCCATCATCCTTACCACGACGCCTGGCGGTAGCGAGTGAAGTCGCAACGCTGGACTTCCTCCGCACTAACGGAATACCTGTACCTCGGGTTCTGGACTACTCGACTGGTAAAAACTCTGTCGGTGTAGAATATATGCTGATGGAAAGACTACCAGGAAAGCCTCTCAGTGATATCTGGTTCAGCTTAGCCCAAGAGGAAAGATGCCACATTCTGCACAAAATAGTCTTGATGGAAACCAAGCTCTTCGCGAATATGCTTCCCGCCTGTGGCAGCATATACTATCCCCGCGACTTGCCTACCAATACCCCCCGCGTTGATATCCCTGGATCCGATGGCAGCTTGTGCATGGGGCCGTACGCATCTCAGAAATGGTGGTACGGCGAACGTGGGAATCTAAACGTCGACCGAGGCCCTCGTAAGTCGTTTTCATGCGAGTATTACATTCGACTGATTCCCATACATGTAGATGTTAATCCCGAGCTCGTTCTTCGAAGTCATTCCGAGAAGGAGTTGGCGTGGATCCGCAAATATGGACGGCCGCGACACCCATTCTATCGCGAATACGCTGAGTCGTTTGAATATAAGAAGCAAGACCCTCAAGAACACGTCCAGTCGCTAGGAGACTACATACGCCTCGTACCTCACCTTGTACCTCGAGACGCGACACTGCATTCGCCCACCCTCCGACATCCAGATCTCTCTCCTAATAACATCCTGATATCTGACGATCTTCAAATCACTGGCTTCATCGACTGGCAGCACTCCGAAGTTCTCCCTGCTTTCCTCGCCGCGGACATACCAGCGGCATTTGCAAATTACGCAGACGAAGAGTCTCGAACCTTTACGGAGCCCAAACTACCGGAAAATCTTTCGTCTATGGCTGAAAATGAGCGGTCTGAGGCAGAAGAACTATATCGACGCCGACACATACATTTCTGGTACCTTGGCCTCACTCAGGTGCTGAACAAGCCTCATTGGCAGGCTTGTACACACGACGGAACTTTCATGACACGTCAGATATTTAGCGATGCCGGCGCTCCGTGGCAAGGTGACAATGCTCATCTCCAGATCGGTATCGCGGATGTTGTGGAAGAATGGCCAGTGTTTGCATCTGCCGCCGCAGACGGCACGGTTCCGCCATGCCCCATCGTCATATCCGAGCAAGAGATGCAGAGGAGAGCAGATATGCGGAAGTCATTGCACGAAGGCAACATGTTTAGGGAAGAATTTTGCGAGAAAATGGGTGTATCCCATAGCGGATACACATCGCACGAAGACTTTGACTTCGCGAAAGAAAAAGCAAGCAAGGCAAAGGAATGCATAGTGGACAACCTGAAAGACGACCCGGAGGAACTGGAAAGAGCCTTACTTACTTGGCCTTTTGATGACTATGACGAGAATGAATAAGGTCATTGTTCTCGTCCTCCATGTACACTAGTAGCATATGAGCGTTACAGCGTGACGACGTGAATATTACTCCACTCATGTGATTGTACACCATCCTTCAGAGACACTCGCACAAGACACGTTTGTGACATCGCAAGTTCTGTTGCACGCGCTGTATCTAACAAGCGCCCGTACGTGTGTGGTGGAGGTTGAAGATGGCTATCTGAGTAATGCAGTCGTGCAACTCAATTGCGGGGCCACCTGGCACATCGTTGCGTACAAAGCAGTCGCGCAAGGCTTGCACATGCGATACGTTATTGCATGCAAGTATCAAGCCTCCATGAAGTTCGTCGTTCACACCTGCCTGAGTATGTTCAGCGCACAGGCTTCTGATGCTGCCTGTCAGCCTTCTTTTTTGTATACGTCATCACTCCGGATCTTAGGCCACCATCATCATGATCGCGCTTCAGGGGCACAGCCTCATCACCAAACTTCCAGTCCATCCGTCACAGCGGTCGCGCAATTCGACATAGTAGCCTGCATCAGCTGCGGGACACAGCCAAGGCGGAAAGACAGGCGGTACGCGCCAGGAACTGATTTTGGGAACGCGTGGGACGCACACGGCAAATCTCTCACCACCCAGACCGCGCCCTCGCCCGCGCCGAACCACCCCACATCAGCCTTCAACATCATGTGCATCGGGAAGCTTTTGCCTGCTGCATCTTGCGGGCGGTGCTTGGTGCCTGTTCGATTACTGGCTTGGACATGCGATTGATGATGTGCTCTGACGCCTGATTGGCCAGTCCAGGCGTAAGAAAAGAAGAAGCTGAGGCTGAGGCAGTCAACCATTGTCCAAATGTGGGCTACGGCAGGCTCGCTCCTGATGCGTTCGCGGGACGTTGAGTCCTTCCCAGGCTCAGCTCGCGTCTGTACGGATGATGCCTTATAACAAGGCTTCGCACCGTTTACCCGCTCATTACGACTGCACCTTGTTCGATAAGACACCATCTGGATAATTGAACGAAAGTTCCTTTACGGAAAGCACGACTTGAGATCATCAAACGCAACACCTGTGGAAAGATCAACTAACTGGCTGGCAAAATGACATACTCCGAGCGCCTTCCATTGTTGGACGAGAAGGCCGCACATGCCTATCAACTGCAGAGGGAAGATGAGACTTTCCAAAACTCGACGAAATCAGCGGAGCGAAGTTTAAGCGACATCCTACGCCATGTTGTTCTACTACCTCTTCTCTGCGGCTTCGCCGTATACGGATCCTATACCTTTTGCAGGCAACATCTTATCAGGGACACCATGTTATCAGTGCCAGCACACGAAAGCTCTACTTCTTTCAACTACACATGTCTACCGGGACAGGCTTGTTGGCCGACCATGAGCGATTGGACCGCTTTCAATCAGAGCATCAACGGCAACCTCCGACTGACGGTACCTTGGGCCGCCTCGTGCTACTCAGATCTGTCAAGCACGCAATGTCAAGAGGTCGCGAAGAACTACGGCGATGGAGTCTCACGCACGAAACACTATGGATCGACGGAGTTTCTCGACTGGGAGAAGTGCGACACGTCGCAATGTGCACTTAACTCTTTCAATACCTCAGAGCCTGTTTCCGGTACCTGCTCGCTTGGTAGACTCTCCTCATACCATGTTAAAGCTGAGACTGGGCATGATATCAGCAAGACCTTGAGCTTTGTGCGCAAGCACGGCATCCGTTTATCGATCAAGAACACTGGACATGACTACTACGGACGATCAACCGCGCCAAATTCTTTAGCAATCTGGACTCACAACATGAAGGACACCCAGTATCACGACACGTTCCAGCCCAAAGGCTGCCAGACTCGCTATGAGAACATTGGAGAGATCGGCGCTGGCGTCCAGGCCCAGGAGGCGTGGGAGGCCTTTGAACCTCATGGCATGCATGTCACTGTTGGAGCCGTCGCTTCTGTCGGCATCGCTGGTGGATATGGTCAGGGCGGCGGCCATGGGCCACTCGGTCCCAAATACGGTCTGATGGTCGACCAAGCTGTCGAGTTCGACGTTGTCACAGCCGACGGAGAACAGCGCACCATTAACGAATGCAGCGACCCGGATCTTTTCTGGGCAATGCGCGGAGGCGGAGGCGGGACCTACGCTGTGCTCACATCTTACAAGTTCCAGCTCCACCCGGCCGATCCTATCAACGTATATAGCTTCCAAGCTCGCTTTCCCGCGCCGAAGAACATTACAGAGTCGAAGGTACATCGCGACATCATCACCGGGCTTGCCGCAAACCAAACGCTATTTGCCAAGCATGGAATCGCTGGATACAATTTTGTGCTCTCAGATCGTGTCGTGTTCTTGCAGGTCCTGCCCTCTAATGACACGGAGGCGATCAAAGACATCACGTCCCAATGGCACGACTTCTTGACGAACTACTCCGGTCTCAGCATCACCGAGAATGAGTATCACTCCTTCAAGAAGTTCTCGCAGTGGCATGAGTTCACGGAAAGACCCGAGATATCTCGCAACGGACCCGTGGGTCTAGGCTTCAATGGCGCAGGGCGCTTCATCCCCAGGAGTCTCTTCAACTCGTCCCACAACATCGACCGGCTCGTCACTGCAGTCGTCACCGCCATGCAATTTTCACGTGTCAAACATGGCAGTGGAGGCGCTCAGTTCTACGCTACCGGACCAGACAATACTCCTGACAACGGTAAGACCAGCGTAAATCCCATCTGGCGAGACTCGCTATGGGAAATAGTCATGGGCCAATTTTGGACGACTGCTACACCGCCTGCGGCTCGCTCGCAAATCCAAAAGACTGTCTCTGCTACGATGGACATCTTGAAAGCCGTCACACCGAATGGTGGGTGCTACTCGAACGAAGGTGATTGGACCGAGGAGAACTGGCAACAAACGTTCTTTGGGGTGCACTATGAGAGATTGCTGGCCGTGAAGAGACGCTATGATCCAACAAATCTGTTCAACTGTTGGAAGTGTGTGGGTTGGACGGGATATGATGAGTGAGTATCATGGTCTAGATCTTGCAAACAAAAACTAACTGCCACAGCCCAATGTACTCCTGCTATGCGCAAACTCGACAGGAGCCGCGGCCTTCCGTTCCTCTTGGACCTGTTGGATGAGCGGATTGCGTCTATCAGCGACTACCTTTATGTCTAGCAGTCAATGTCGCGCAAGCCACGGCCGTCACTTTTATCTTACCCTGGAACTTTGCGGTGCCTTTCTTTTCGGATTGTCTTGCTAGATCCATCGTTGTTCTTGTTTGCATCGCAAAACAATTTACACTATTCACATTCAGGCAAACTCTCGCCTCAATCTCTCGTGTCACTTTCGGGGCCAACATGCACGTGCGGGGCGCCGACGCCGATGCGTTGCCCACCGCCGCAACGCGAGTGCAACCTGGTGAGCTTCACCGGCTCGTGAGAGAGCAACGTGTGGGGGCCGTGTGTGTTGCGTTTCCGTTTGTGCTCATCTGAGGCCTTGCCATTGGCAGGCCTCTGATTGGCCGGCCCCCATTTATTCACCGGCCGTCCAACGGGGCCAACGCGCCCCAACGTGGCATATAATTGTAATCCACGCTCACTTGCGCTTTCAGACCCCCGGGTGACGCAGGATCATAACAATAACAACAACAGTTTCCCCAGCGACTTTTACTCCCACGCTCCTTTACCTGCTCCAACCCACATCACGCGACACTCAACTGCCTCACCATACTCACTCGAACCCGTGTCTACTTACGCAACTAGGTCCAAAATCCGAGTCAAGATCACTCAGGATGCATGTCAACGCCCTCATTGCCATGACGATGCCGCTTCTCGCCGCGGGCGCGCACCTCGGCTTTCGACACAGTCACAACCATGAGAAGGTCGACCCTCGTGCTATGCACACCAACGTCGTCATCGTGACTGAGACGATCTTCACGACCGTCACGCTTGAGTCAACCTCAAGCTCTGCTTCCGCCGGTTGTTCCGTCATCACTACCTCCACTGCGCTGCCAGAGCCGTCTGTCACCGTCGAGGTCCCGCAGAAGGGCGTCCCTGAAGTTGCGTCTACATCTACGTCTACTTTCACGTCCTCTGTTCCTCCTTCTGCCGCTCCTTCGTCTTACCCAGGTGGAATGTACGCTTCGCTCGACTCTGTCCCAAACGAGGCGATCATACTCAACTCCTGCGACTATGACGTCTATGTCTCGTCCATCGGCGACAACAAACAATGCAACAACAGTCCCGGGAGCGACTGCGTGACTGTATCCGCCAATAGCACTTATTCTGAACCCATTCGCACCTGTAAGGGGTCTGGCATTTCACTCAAGGTCGCGAAATCCACGAGCATGGATAATCCGATGCAATTCGAATATACCGTCTGGGACGACAAGATCCAGGTGTCTTACGACATCTCATACCTCGACTGCATGACCAAAGACGGGACCAACTTTGACAATTGCGCCGGCCACGAAAAAGGCATTCAAGCCGCGGCCAAGGATGGCCCATCCTTCGAGTGCGCCGCTAACGAGCCTTGCGCTGCGGAAGCTTACGTCGTGCCTGAGTTTGGGTACCTTCCCGATGCCCCAGTCGGCCGCGCTACTGTCGATAAAGGCGTCGCGTTCGAGATCTGCGCCGGAAACAGATCATGAGCGACGTCGTTACGAGGAAAGAGGTCTTCATACCGAGATCACGAGATCATGACCTGACTATTTCTTTCCCGTGTCGACCCAACGAAGGGATCCGGCTATCTCTTTCGCGAACATGATGGAGCAAAAGAGTGTGTGTTGTCTGACTATAACGATCTCTTCCAAACACTTTCTAACAATCTACGGCAGGCCCTGGATTACTCTTCGGGGTAGACTACTACACGGCCTCATGTTTCTTCTCTTCTTTGGTTTTCTTTTCATTGTATACTCTTGACTTCAAGGCTTTTTTTATCTCCTTCTTCTTGAAACAAGGGCATACACGAGTGGCGTTGGAGGATTTTGGAATATGATGCTGGCGCATGGATAGCAGCGGATGGCAACCGGTGCTGGTGTTTTCCCTATCTGGATACTTTCACTATCAGGATAAGATAGTTTGCTTGTAAGCCTCAATCAAGAGCATAGCACAAACTCTGCTTTCACCATGCCGTGATGTTGGTGACTTGAGGGCCCGGTGGCCGATGACATGCACGCGACGCTCAGACATCTCGGAGTCCTATGCGCAGCTTCGCCCCAACGTGGTACCCATGCACCGCCAACCACGGTTGGCTCCAACTTCCGTACAACGTCCTGCGGCGTAGACACCGCGACCATTACCGCTCGATTTTGTTACATCATTACCTGCATGCGCTCGACCCGAAGTCATCGCCGTATTCAAGCATACCACGACTAGATAAACCCACGATGTAGGATGGGGATGTTTACTGACCCATAAACTACTCATGATGGATTACTCACTTCTTCAGTCATGCACTGCGCTGTCATGAACATCCTCTTTGCCTATGTAAATATCTTCTTCTCTTCGCATTCTTCTTCTTCTATACACAAACACCCTCCTAATACAACCATCGCCGTTGTGGACCTTCCTGTGATACCAACATCTTCATCGAAAGCAGCCTCTCCATAGCGACGCATAGCGCACCCAACTTCACACTACTGAAGCACGGTTGAATATCGCTGTGCCACAAACCAACACCTACGAATCCCAACATGGCCGTACTACGCGCATGCTCGCCCATCGCAACGGCCTTACTAGCTCTCCTCCTCTTGCGGAAACCCGTTACAGCAGTGCCGCACAACCACGGGCACAAGCACGTCCACCGACATGTCTCGTCAGCCAACGATCTCATTACGCTCGGTCCTGAGTCGCTGGCACGCCGAGACACACCTGTCAAGCTAGGCGACCAGGAACGCATGAAAGAGGCCGAGGTCGCAGGAATGGCGGCAGGTTGTTTCAGCGGCAACTGGCCTCTCGATGAAAGCGTCCCCATGCCTATCGTGGATCCAGGCGATCAACTCAACCTCTTCCCTAGACCAGAGAGTAAACCCAACACACTCACCATGTACAACTACTGCCCCTACGATCTCTACTTTGAACACTGGAACGCGGGCGGACCGTTCGAAGACAAGGGCGGTTCCAAACTAGCAGCCGGTGCATCCGTCTCGCGCGGTCTCACAGGTACAGTGATCAAAGTTTTCAAGTCGAAACCACTATTATGGCCTTTTCTCATCGAGTATGGCGGTCAATATGACATGAGCTTGATACACTGCCTGGGCACGACTAACGGAAATCCCCTGGTTCATAGCGAGGATAAAACTCAGACAATCATTAAGGATACGAGTCGTTGCCCTGGACACGAAGCGGGACTACATCTCAGTCAACCAGAAGGGCGTACTTTCCAGTGCGAGGCAGGTCTTTGGTGCGACGACCAGGCTTACCTATACGAAGTGAGTTATTAGTTTGAATGTGATATTATTCAAGTGCTTTTGCAGCTAACGAATGACATCAGGAAGGACTGTGCAAACCGATTCGGCCGAATTCGCCATATGACAGGAGCAAGGGAATTTCGATGGAGTTTTGTGCTAAGATGAAGCCTTAGTGTTTCGTCAGCTCTGTGCGGACATCTATTCCTCAATGTCTCGTTGCGCCTGTCATTCGTTCTGGGCATGGACCCTTGTCTTCGTCTAGCTTGGTGGTTTACGAGTGGCGTTCCTTCCAATCAGGCGTACCTTCGCTGTTCCTACCGATACATAATGGAATGTAACTTTTACCAAGTCGTTCTTACACCCCATTTGTAGTCAACGCTGAACACCATGAAGCATGCATCAACGCCACTTCCTCTTCCTTGCTTGCTGTTGGCCCATTATAGGCTGCACGCTGCATGCCTATTCAGCGTTGTCTTTGTACGAGTAGCTCACTCTTTCCATCAGATCAGATCAGGCCAGCCGACGTCTCAAGAAATTCCTCAGCGTCCCCACAGCCCCGTAACCCAACTTCTGCTCACAAGAATCCGACTCAACATGCTGGAACAAGCTCGACAGTTTCGCCATCGACGCATCGCAAGTCGGGCATTTGAAGGGACTGGCATGACAATGTGTAACGCCGTAGTCAAGAAGATCAAGCTGACAACACTCGTAGTTAATGAAGTCGGCCCATTTGCGGCATTGTGCTGCAAGCATGTTAAGATCGGCGTGATCGAAGTCGCCGCAGGTGCCGCGTTCGATATGGATGATCTGTGATGGTGAGTGGCAAACTAGAGTAAGAATAATTAGGAAGCTTACCATGCCGCCATAGGTCTTAAACGTAGCGTCACATTCATAGCACTCATACTTTGCTCTACGATGAGAAATCATATGCTGCGTGTTCTCAGCACACTACACCTATTCAGTCAAACCTTCGTAGCCTACTTGATAAAGATTGCTTGGCGTATCAAAATGCCGATGGCACGTTATACACTGGTTGCATTCATGGAGATGCTCGTAATACTCGTCGCAATCAAGAGCCCAGTGCGCTCCTCGGCCATCGTCGCAGCCTTGGCACACAGTGCGACAACCCTTTTGACGACAATGCTTGAGTAAGTCTTGCCAAGTAGCGCCGTCGTAGTCGCATACTGGACACTCGTTGTGGTTTGGAGAGTCGCGAATGTGTTGCGCCCACGCGCTATATAGACCGAAAGTACGCTGGCAGCGCTCACATTCACTGCTCGTTGTCAGTAGATGATGAACACGCAGAGCGATTACCTACACGCGCCACACCATGATTCACAGTTGAACACCAGATTTTCATCGGCGTGGCGTCTGTGTTTGATGTGTGCTTGACATGAGACATTCGACTCGCAACGAGGATTATATGCATGCCGGTGATCACGGAAATTTCCGACGCTCGGATGCTCGCCGGTGGGGTATACAGCGTGTCCTCTCCATCTAATCCAGCTCTGGCAACTACCACCAGTCCACGATACAAACAAAGGTGGAGTGAAATGTCCTGGTACATGCTTCTTGGCTCATCAAGAAGGACATACCAGAAATGATAGAAATACTAGCCCTAGCATGCGCTAGAAAAAAAATCGTACGCGTGGTTGGAAGCGATGGCATATTCCTACACTGAAGATCTACTTAGACATAGCCTCACCTCTAAGAACTCCACTCCTTGAACGCCTTCTGCTTTTGCCTGCTATTCCACTGCAGAGTCCTCGATATACTATCGATCCAATCCGTCCTCCGCTTGTTCAGCGGCAGCACACTGGGGAATGGGAAGCGACTTGCGCTAATTGTAACGTAGTCGCCAGGCTTGAGTTCGACCCTTTCTCTGCCGTCAAAACTGGCCCATGAACTAGTCCTCGCATCGTACGGTACACCGCACCGGAGCACTATTGTATCGGGTAAGATGATGGGGCGGAAAGAGAGCGTATGCGCGCAGATGGCGGTAACGAGGACCACAGGGTTGTCGGGGTGGCAGAGCGATCCACCTGCTGCGAGGTTGTACGCAGTCGAGCCCGTAGGCGTAGAGACGCAGATTCCGTCAGCCTGCACAGTTGTGAAATGCTCATCGTCTCCGAACAGCTCGATGGACGACATAGTCGGGTTTGGGCCCCGGTCTACGACCACCTCGTTCAAGATGTTATGTGTACCATCGGAGTAGTGGGTATGGTGGTCGTCGATTTCCTCCCCGATCAGTTCTTCGACCAGATCGCGGCCCTCGCCGTCCCGTTGTTGGGATCGCATGACGGTAGCTTCGAAGCGGAGACGCAGGCTGACGGTGATACCGTCCGCGAAGGCGGTAGATAGGGATTGCGGGTATAGTTCGAAATCGAATTTGGTGAGGAAGCCGAGCGAGCCTAGCGAGAAGGAAATCGTTGGAGGTACGATGCGCTGGAAGAGCCATGACGCATACAAGACTGTGCCGTCACCACCCAGCTGTGTTGTCGTTAGCCTTGAAGACTCTGCAGTATGACATGTCTTACCGCGAGGACAATGTCAAAGGTTTGTGGCTTTTGAGCGCACATCTCGTTGGTCCAGAATTTGAGCCGCCCTTGAAACCCCTCGTTCTCCAACAGCCCAGCAGCGTCGAAGATCTTGTTGTCCTCCAGCGTCTGCTCGACGTAGCTATGTCTCGTTAATCGTGTCCGTTGCTAGGCAAAACTAGCACATACACCGTATGCTCCGAGCTCTTCCGCAGAAGCCAGTCGGTCACCTCGCGCGAGTTCTTGATCAAGGCCTCGTCGTGCGCTTTGCCGAGGATGAAGATGTTCTTCACATGCAGCTTCAGCCTGATCTGTGACAGCTTCTTGGACAGCTCGCGTATCCCAAATGCCATATCTGACAGCTCCTTCTTGGTCAACAGCCGCGAATGTTGCGTCTGCTCCGAGCGCGCCGAGGCTGGGTCTTTGTCGACGCGCCGTTCCTGCGCGAGGCCTTCGTGCGATTGGGAGTGATCTTGTACGGGCAAGCCATCGTGCTTTTCGAGAAGGGAGTGTACGATACACGCGGTGGTACGGCGACCGTTCTCGGGGCGGGACGTCATCTTGCCAGAGGGTGGGGGAGCGAGCGAGGCTTTGCGACGATGGCCGCTATATCCGCCTTCGAAGACGACCTGCGATTATTGGTCAGCGCGCGGAGGAAGGGTGCAGTGGAGTAGGTACCTCTAGCGCATCGTCATGGCTGGTCACTTTGGTGATATTCTTGGTGTCTTGGTCTCCAAGCTCGCTCTCCATGAGGAAGTTAGCTTCAACGCGTCGTTATGACGTTTGGGGTGCATAGGTACCTCGATTGCTTCCTGAACGCCAGGGCTCAGCTGATCGAAATAACTCGTCGCCATGGCTGAAGTGCGCAAATAGTCCTGCGATTGAAAGGGCCAAGAGAAAAGGCTGCCCTTTTGTAGCCTTGCTGTAGCGCGTGCGTAATGTCGAAAGTGCAACAGTAACTGCGGTTCTCGGCCCACTTTCCGAGGGGCAGGCACGCCCGGCCCCGCTTGCTTCCAATCATGTCCGCGCAACGCCGATGAGATCAGCCGCTGGCGTCCTTACTCATGCCTTTTGCTCAACCACCATCGTTTTCGTGGTGGTAGTCTTGCTGACAAAGGATGCTAAAGCGGAACTTCCACTGATTCTAGCACTTCCTCGATCACATCCTCAACCGTGACACCTTCAAGGACAGCCTTGACTGCCTCGAGCGAGCTGCCCCATTGCATGCTGCGCTCGTTCTCTGGTGCAGTAATGACGATGCGATGTGGGTATATCTTGCGAGCGGCAAGGGCGATCATGGACGGTGAAATGTAATCGAGGCCGTGGAGTGGGGCGAGCGTGCTACTGCTGTCAATACTGTTCTGCTGGGATTGTGGACTACTTACTGTGCCAGCGTGTTGAAGTGCCTCGTGGCCAAAGCAGAGATGCCTCCTGCAACTGCTCGATGCAGCCGCATGAACACGATAATGTTGTATAGATAGGCTCTTACTTCAGAGCTGATTCTGACTTGCGACACCAGCTTCGTCAAGGTCTCAAGGTCCTGTCTTTGTTAGTACAGAACAGGCATACTATGGTCGACATACATCAGGTAGGAATAATGCTTGTTGCGGCTTATGCTTTCCCGGCTGGAATGGCGGCGTGCGGACTACGGAAGACATTGATGCGCCGTCGTCTAATGCATGATTCTTCTCCTGTAGCTCTTCAAGATTTGGCAGCCCATCATCTGCCTGATGCTTGTGTGAGATGAAGAATTGGTCATTCTGTAGCATTGTTAGACTTTGCATCTAGATTATAGGCTCGGCATACCAAATGCATTGTCAGGCGCGGTGTATCTGAAGCATTCAAAGCGATGAATAGGAATGGTTTCGGAGCCGCATGTACTGCTGTCCTCGTGAAGTTCCGCTTGCCTCGTATCAGCTGTCTATCATTAGTTATGCTCGAGCAGAAAAGACGATTAATGCACCTCCAAGGCCTGAATTTGGACCTGCGGATTCGCCCTGTTGAGGTTTCTTGCAATAACAATGTTCGCGATGCGTTGGTTGTCCAATGGACAGAACGGTTTGGATGACCTCGATGTATGTCCGCCAGGCTTCCCAGGTGATACTGAGATGGACGAAAACTGGCTAGACATTAATCGCTGGCAAACCAGTCTACACGAGCACAAGTTACCTCTCCTCTACCACGCCCAGCTTTGTTGCCGAAATAATCGTTCTCTTCTCCTCTCACGAGGATTCCGCTTCCGAAATCGTCCAGCGTGGTGTGCTCGGTGCATTCCAGTACAGCCCATGTTAGTCCGAAAGTATTGGTAGCGACCTATTGTTGTAAGTACGCGGGCAGTCGCGCAGTGCGAAGCAACTCACAGGTTTCAACTCCTCCAGAACATCACGGGTCAGTTGCCTTTCCGCTTCGATGATGCAATGCTGATCCGCGACCAAGCAGATGAGAACGGCAAGCTCCAGATCACTCAGCGACTGCACTTTTTCCGTGATGCGATCTTCCGAAGCCTCCATGATCGATAAGATTTGGGAAGGCTTACTTCGTTGTTGTGAAAGTATTAGAAGCCTGTAAGAAGTCTGGCGACGAAAGTGCTTGGACGCGATGGCTGTTTCCAAAGTCGCGTTCGGTGAGCGGACAGGGATGCGATGCCGCTAGTTCAAGACAGGACTAGACTCGAGTCCCCTGGAAGTCGCGCCCGGGCGGGCTGCATCTTGAGGTCTGCGCAAGAGCAACTTCAATGCGGCAGCTCAGTATATGCACACGATACTACATTTCCGAAGGAGTTATGTAACTTCTTTGTTTCGTTCGTTTATAATACACTCAATTGTCGAGAGTCATGAACCTCGTCAGACCGTGAAACCACATCGTGCGCGTACCCCATACTCCGCCACGTCTAACCCCAAACTCTTTCGCAACACGTAGCTTTCGGTCTAGAGGAGCTTAGCCAGACTTCTTTCGAACGTCTTTGGCATCTTCTTTCGGAATGCCGACGAGACGAAGGCTCCTCCAGGTGGTCGACGGGATGGTCTGGGGTACCGCTGGAGAGCTCAGGGCAGGGAAAGCTTCCGCTGCTATACAAACTCTGGGAAGCCCTCCGGATATATTGACAGATGGTTGTAGTAAGGCTTCGTCATCTGCTTTCTCGTTGACAACAGCTTGCTCCTTCTTGCTCGCGCCCTTAGGCTTGTTCTTTATCTTCGATCCGCGAGGTGCCTTTTGCGAGGGAGCAGGCTTCAACTTTTCCAGCTGCTCCTCGGCTTCTCGAATCTTTGCCTCAAGTGCCTCCTTCCTGCCAACTGATTCATTCATCTCCGCAATCGTATTCTCGAGAGTGGTCTGCCAGATGGTGACGAGTCCGTCTAGATGCTGAAGCTCTGCGGCTTGTCGATCGGACGCTGTTGTGGATGAGACGTGTGGAAGCGCCATGGTATCTTGATCAACATGGCGACACTCAGAGCTGGGCTTTTGTTCTTCGGGTAGTGGTTCGTGTTCCTTCTTCCACTCGTCGTGATCCGCGTGGAGTACCGCATTCTCTGTTTGAAGAGCTTGGATGTCGTTGCTGAGTTGGTCGTAGCCTTCTTGCACAGCCTTTGCCTCGTCATCTCGTTCCTTATACTTCTGTTCCCACTCTAGCTTCGCTTGCTTGAGCAGCGCTTTCTCCCGGCTTTCTTGCAAAACTCTTGCTTCCAAAGCTTCCTTCTCCTCCAGAACCTTAGCGTAACGGGAAGCTTTAGCCTCTGCTTTGCCCAGACGATCGGCGAGTTTGATTTTCTCGTCACGTACGCGTTCTTCAACCCGCTGTTGTAGGTCTCTCTTGGACTCTTTCTTGATCTCTTCATACTCCTGTCTCCAGGCTTTTTCGTTCTTGGCGATGGTGGCCTTATCCTTTGCTACCTCTCGTGCTGTTTCTTCTCTTTCGCTCAGTAGTCCTTGGATCATAGCGGCAGATGTTGATCCCAATTCGCTGAGTTCGTTTCTCGCTTCTTTCAACTTCTGTTGAAGAACCTTCTCTGCTTCAGTCGACGCATTTTCAATGATTGCCTCCAGTAATAACAACACCCTTTCCGCGATCCCGTCTCTTGTGTCGTAGGCCATAGTGTCCCATTGCTTCCGTATGTCCATGAACTCATGGAAATCTCGATCTGATTCGTCCTTCAAGTGTTTTCTGAAAGCTGTATCATGAACCATTTCCGGCATAAGATGGCCTAAATCATCCAATTGCTCCAATTGCATTTTCGAGCGTGCCTTGTGAGCACTGGCTTTTGTTATGGCGTTGGCCGCATCGTTGAACTTGGTAGGTAGCGCAATAAGAATATTCTTTAGATTGCTGAGTTCCGCGGAGATCTTTCCGTGCGTTTTTTGTTCGAGATCGTCAAAGTGGACTTCATACTTCCCGAAAGGCGCACGCGGCTGATCCATGGAGGGCCAAACGCTCATGTTGACCTTCTAGCTCGCGAATAGTCTGCTGAGGACTCGGAGGATTGGTGTGAGTTGTTGCGGGGGTATTCAAGGCTGGCGAGACACGTAGTTAGATTCGTCTGTGACCGGGCGATCCTATGGAGGTGGGAGCTGAGCGCGTTTGATGATGTGTCAGGCGGGAGGGCGCAGTCGCGAGAAGTTAAGGTTGGTTCCAGCGGGGTTTGTTGTAAAACAAGAAATCAGGCAACACGAGATCAAAGCTCTGGCCTTTCAGGCAGGATAAGTAGCATTGGTACGTGCATCTAAAGAGGTGGAGCTCAAGACATGTGTCACATGTTAAGACACCATTACCTTCATTGATATCTACGTCACTAGCGCTGAACATTTCTTACTAAGATAAAATTCAAGCGCGTCACACCAATCCTACATCTACTTATGACCCGCAGCTACATTACGATCTATCAGCGATGTTGCCTTCCTTGGAAAGTCTGGACACAAAAACGACCAGATCTTTACAGGCTACATTAGCAAGACTTGAACCATTTAATTCCCAACCCATCGCTACATCGTCTCTTGATGATGAGCAACATGACACCGTCAAGCCCGATGAACGCTACCCTACGACTGCAGTTTCTCAGGTCAGTCCATATGCATTCCAATCTAGCAGCGAACTGACCGACATCGAGACCGAAACAGACTGCGCATTTTGCACTTCCATTGGCCGTATACTCAATTGTTGCCAAGATCGAATGAGCCCGCGTTCATGTCCTCAGTGCGCGGAACTCGGTCAACACTTCACTCGACAAGATACAAAGCAGACCGAAGAGCTAGCTGCTTTGCGCGACAAAGTGCGGGAGCTGGAAGAGGAGACACCGGAGCAGAGGTTCAACCGGCTGAGCGTTGAGAAGAATACGAAAATTGATGGACTGAAAGCCGAGGTCGAGAAGGTCAACAAGAAAGACGAGTCACTGAAGGCGAAGAACGATGAGTTGGAGAAGAAGCTGAAGGTACTCGAGGCAGATATCAAGAATTTACAGCCAGCGGCGGAGTTTACTATCAAGGAAAAGAAGAAGAAAGGAAAGAAGAAGTAAAGTTTTGGTGTTTACAATGGCGTCATGTTGCTGGGACTGGGTGTGAGAAGCTCTCTATGTCGATTACATGGTGGTTTGGCACTTATCTTGCCCCATCAGCGCAACTTTGTAGTCTCTCTGCTAAGCAATCGATTTACATCGATACCAATAATCTAAGGCTGAAACTTCCCAGTGTCCGCATGCACAGGCCAAGGTACATCGTATAATGTTACTTATCCAGAGTTCCCCAGACGTCGTCGAGTTTGTTCAACCTTAGCGTCCAGCGATGCAACCTCTGCTTTCTTCTTCTCGATCGAAGTCAGCCTGGCTAGGTCTTTGCAGGTCTCTCCGTAGTCTCCTTCGACGTCTTGAGATCTGCGTTCTCTTTCTCTAACCTCGCATTCTGCTGCTCAAGCTCCTGAATTCTCGCTGCGGGGTCCAATGCCTGCTTCAAAGCAGTGATAAGCCGGTTTTCCAGTGTCTTGGCTTCATACCGGGCGGTTTCGAGACTACTCTTGGCTATACTTAGATGCTCATGCGTGAAGAGCTTGTCAATGCGCAGATCATCGATTTCTTTGTCCTTCACACGAGAGAGTTGAGCAACCTTCAAGTCGAATTGTTCCTTTAGTTGAGTAATCAGTGCCTGCAGTGGCGCGTAAACCGTCTTCATGACCTCGTGGCGCAATCTCTCGGCGTCACGTTCTTGCCTCCTCAACGCCGCCTCCTCATCGTACAGCTGAATACTCAGCTCTGTTAAGCCAGTCTCGGAAGCTCTCCCATGTTCTTTATCATCGAGCTGTGCTTTTTGTAGCTCAGTAATTTGTTGGCTGATGCTCCCGATAACGGTCTTGACCTCAGCAATCGCTTCGCCAGCACGTTGGCCTTCGGAAACAAGAAGAGCTATTGAATCATGCATTCTTCGCAAACACACGTAAATTGCGACAAAAGGCGTCTCCTTTTTGTCTAGCTCCAAGGTTGTTTTGACCCACTCCAGGAAATCGTCTTGTGTTGTGGCCTCATGCGTCGCGTCCTCTGTTGATGGAGTAGTCGCGGATGGCATCGCTGCAGATACAGGATTGTCCGGACTGAACAGCCCGCAGACTGCGGATAGCCACTCTTGCGTACTCTCCAGATGCCGTTGACCAGAGGGACTTCGCACCGGACTTCCGGTAGAGTCATGCTTGCTGGAAACGCCCTGAACACCAGAGAGGCCGTTGTCATCTGGCCTTTGGAAGTGGAGGCCTCCCTCATCAGCAGATGTAGGCGCCATGAATTCCTCGGTCTGGCCTTCGGCTGGTGGGTGGGGACAGGACGGGAGGAAGCGGGATTCCTGAGAATTGTTTTGGGAGTTGTGATCTGTGCACGTTTGCTCCGAAGCAGTCTCAGTATCGACTGGTGAGCTGCCATCTGACTTTTCAGGGTTTTGCAATTCGTCTTGATCGGCTTTCTCATCAGTTTGAGACGTGCTGGACATGATGTGGTTTGAGACTGATCCGGTCGCGTTTTGTAGGTGTTTGGTCATTCGACGTGCGTCGTGCTGATGGAATGATAATATGGTCGTACCTTTGGGGCGGTCTATCAGGCAGGCGGTTGTTGTTCCCGGAAGTCGGTCAGGTTTTGGAAATTAGTGTAAGTGTCAGGGTTAGGCGGGAGTTGCGATGGAAGTTGTTGGTACTTGTTTGTTCCATGTCATAACGGGAAATCGCGCTGGGACCTGCTGTCCAGCCTTGGAAAACAGTCCATAAAATGACCGGCTCTTGTGACACAATCAGTCACCCTTTGGTCTTCGTAATACACTCTACCCCACGTCGCCTGTATAATCTTCTCTTATTACCCAACCTTTTAAGAAAGACCTCGGCCTAGTCCAACTCTCCAAACCCATCGGCTCGACCAGACTTCAACTACGTAGAAATGCCAGAAGAGATGCCAGAAAGCAGCGCCCAAGAAAAGCGCGACTACATCGAGGCGTTGAAAATACAGATAGAGGAAGCAGAAGAAGAAGACAGGAGGCTAGAAAGAGATCTAGAAGAGCGGAGGCAGGTGCTGAAGGAGTTGGAGGCCAACATTAGGGATAAAGAGGGATAGATCATCAAGGAAGATGTTCAAAAGAAGAAGGGAGGAAGCAATGGGTACCAGTACTAGGCAGAAGCGCAGCTTCGTTCGGAGTCTGGTTGATGTAAGACATCCTCGCGTTTATTCCCACGGAATACGAGACAGTATTAATACCATAGGCATATGCACAATTGATTTGGGACAAAGCTAGTAAATGGCAGTCGATTTCCATCGCGCCTGTTGTTCAAGGATCGCGCTCCGCGGTGGTGTTGATGAATGCATGCAAAGGCCGCGACGTGAAGGCAAGACTGCGCATACAATGACATCTGCCACTTGCTAACTCGAATGCGAAACCCGAATGGTGAAAGGTCAAATCCCACAAATATCAGAACAGCGTGGCCTCTTGGGAGTTTGGTGGGAGATTCGCGATAGCTCAGGGACGGAGCTACGGCTAGCGCGCGCACGGGTAATTTCCCCAGCGACACGTTGCGAAAGCTCATGAAGCAAACCCCCTCTCCATCTTCCATCAACTGGCTGTTCGCAACCACCTTCTTCACTTTCTCGTTGTCTTCTTTCTTGTCTCTGGGCCATAGTTCGCAATCATGAGCGGCCGTAAGTCTCCACCCCACCTGTCAATGGCCCGGCGAGGCGTGCGCGCAACACGTGCGAGGAATTAATTACGGCGCGGACGAACACCACAGCTAACGGTCGCACGCAGTACGGTTCCTCGATCTCGTCAAGCCTTTTGTGCCTCTAGTTCCTGAAATTCAGCTGCCAGAGAGCAAGGTTCCTTTCAACAACCGCCTGGTATGGACTGGTCTGACCCTCCTCGTCTTCCTCGTCATGAGCCAGATGCCGCTCTACGGAATCGTGTCGTCTGATACCTCCGACCCGCTATACTGGCTCCGTATGATGATGGCGAGTAACAGAGGAACGCTGATGGAACTGGGTATCACCCCCATCATCACCTCCGGCATGGTTTTCCAGCTCCTCGCGGGAACCCACCTCATCGACGTCAACCTCGACCTCAAGTCTGATCGCGAGCTCTACCAGACCGCCCAGAAGCTCCTCGCTATTCTCCTGTCTTTCGGCCAGGCCGTCGTCTATGTCATCTCGGGTCTCTACGGACAGCCATCCGACCTCGGTGCCGGTATCTGCGTTCTCCTCGTCATTCAGCTGATGATCGCTGGTCTGATCGTTATCCTCCTCGACGAGCTCCTCCAGAAGGGCTACGGTCTCGGCAGCGGTATCTCGCTCTTTATCGCCACTAACATTTGCGAGTCCATCATGTGGAAGGCTTTCTCGCCCACCACCATCAACACTGGTCGCGGTCCTGAGTTCGAGGGTGCTCTCATTGCCCTTGTCCACTTGCTCTTCACCTGGCCCAACAAGACTGTTGCGCTCAAGGAGGCTTTCTACCGCCAGAACCTCCCCAACGTCATGAACCTGATCTCCACCGTCATCGTTTTCGGTGCTGTCATCTACCTCCAGGGCTTCCGCGTCGAGATCCCCGTCAAGTCTGCCCGCCAGCGTGGTGTCCGCGGCTCCTACCCCGTCCGCCTGTTCTACACCTCCAACATGCCCATCATGCTGCAGTCGGCTCTGTCTTCCAACGTCTTCTTGATCAGCCAGATGCTCTACAACCGTTTCTCCGACAACCTCCTTGTCAAGCTTCTCGGTGTCTGGGAGCCCAAGGAGGGTTCCGCTCAGCTTTTCGCTACCTCCGGTGTCGCCTACTACATGTATGTCTAATCATAGTTCATGCTACAGAACCAGCCACTAATCAGCTCCAGGTCTCCCCCTCTCAGCATCACCGAGGCCCTCTCCGACCCCCTGAAGACCGCCATCTTCATCGTATACATGCTCGTCGCTTGCGCTGTCTTCTCTAAGACCTGGATCGAGGTATCCGGCTCGTCTCCCCGCGATGTTGCCAAGCAGCTCAAGGAGCAGGGTCTGGTCATGGCTGGTCACCGTGAGGAGTCCATGTACAAGGAGCTCAAGCGCGTCATTCCTACCGCGGCTGCCTTTGGTGGTGCCTGCATTGGAGCTCTGTCCGTCGGCAGCGACCTTCTCGGTGCTCTTGGTAGCGGTACTGGTATTCTCCTTGCCGTAACCATCATCTACGGATACTTCGAAATTGCCGCCAAGGAGGGCGACATGGCCGGCCTCAAGGGCATGGTCATGGGCTAGATTAGCCCATAGGGATATTGGATTTTTGATTTGAACGACGGATGGGTTGGAGCTGGGGTGCTTCGCCGCACATTGTAACATATGATCTAAGAACAAAAGTTTACGAAGGTCTCTGGCATCACTTTACGTACTGCAGCGTGGCGTCTGGCTAGGCTCACGATGTCGGCCCTTCTCTAATGTATCATTGTTAACCCTTAAACTGCGTCTGGACCTAATCGCACCTGCAGTATTCACTTGAAGCACTCACGTGCTCAGCCTTGGCGTGTTGCTGCTGTCGCCTTACTCATCAAACTTCAGTCGCTCTTGCCCCGTTCACTGCCAGTGCCCAGGTATTGAACCTTGGAATACCAACAAGTATGCCTCCGCTGTTATGAGAAACCCGCGTCATGGATTCAGCCTTCAACGGCAGTATCGCATTGGTCAGCTTAGCGAATGCGAAATGTGGCTTACGTGCGTATCAAACCGCCACGCTAACGCATGCTGCGGTCTGCGATGCGAAAGTCTGGGCATTGCGGCCTAGGAAACATCGTCATACACGGCATTGAGGCGTTTTACACATGGGCAATGCAAAGATTAAGCGAATGCGATGTACTGCTGCGGATGCGAAATCTGGTCATGATGCAGTGCGTGTCTTCAGTTTGGACGACTACATAAGATGGGGTTGTCGCTGGTTGAGGTGAGGTGTTACAGCTATCTATTTTACTTCTTCCTCGAGTTCTAGTATTTATACTTGATCGTTTCGATCAGATTTCGATTAACCCGTCATCATGGCAAGCTCACTTAGCATCGCTCATGCTACGCTGGACTGGAAACGACAGAATCCACCCAAAGGGCCAGACTTCGATTGGGAAATGTACCGTTATGTTCCTTCCATGGCTGGAGCAATCGTCTGTCTCGTCGTGTTCCTCGTAATGGCCCTTCTACATCTGTACCAGTTTCTCAAGTCGAGGAATCGGATTATCGTCTTTGTGGTCATCGGCGCTCTGTGTACGTTGTCCCATTCTTGTTCTGCATATTGAAATCATCCCTCAAAACCATCTAGGATCTTTGCTGATTCATGACTACAGGCGAAGTTGGCGGATACGGCGCACGCATCGCTTCTCACTTCGACAATCAAGCCTGGGGCCCGTACATCACTCAAGGTGTACTGACACTTGTCGGTCCTCTGTGGTTCGCTGCAACTATATACATGATGCTTGGCCGTACCATCAGACTCGCCGGTGGTGAAGACGTCAGTCTCATCCCAGCGAGGTGGTACACGAGGATCTTTGTCACTGCGGATGTCACAACGTTGATCATCCAGGGCTTAGGTACGCGAACTTGACAAAGATGAGGACTGTAAAAATGTAAGCTAACGAAGGAACAGGCGCAAGTATCATGGGCACCATGCAACTCGCTCTCGCACTCGCAGGAGAGAAGATCGTCATCGCGGGCCTCGCACTCCAAGTCGCTACCTTCATCGTCTTCCTTGCCGCTTCATTCGACTTCCAGATCCGCATGAACAAGAAAGCCGATCATGCGTCAGCAGACTGGAAGAAGATGCTATACATACTCTACAGCGTCAGTGCGTTGATCTTGTTCCGCTGCACGTTCAGACTCATCGAGTATGCCATGGGCAACGCTGCGTATTTGATTGCGCATGAATGGACGCTGTATTGCTTCGATGCTGTGCCAATGTTTCTGGTTCTGGTTTTGTTGCTCGTTCTGCAGCCGAGTCGCTATGTTGAGGGAAACTTGGGGAAATCGCGACTGGACAGCGATGGCGAGGTCGGCGTTGTGGAGAGAAAGTGAAGGGTTTTGGCAATTTGGTCAGTACTTCCAGCGCGCTTGAAGCAACTTTCCGGGGCATCCTCTATTTTCCTAAGCGCAATACATTTTGCCTATTCTCTCCAGTCTGCTCACGATATCATCTTTTCGGTGAGTCTTGGTATGTGTGCCTGAATCCACGCAGGCGAACATCTCGAATGCCTTCGACTTTGTACAGCAGGCTATAGCATGATTTCACATGCCAATAACGTATATTTAAGCTTGACAGCCGGCCGTTGCGAAAGCCAACTCTGACCCCTATGACGTGCATGACTCGAGGTAGGTCAGATCTTAGCTCTCAAGCTTGGAACAAGCGCACCCAGCCACATTAGGCGGCACGCCTCACGCAGCACCACCTCATGCTTCCACAAAATGTGATTCCTCAATACATACTAGCTACACGCAGACATCAAATGGGATGGCGCGCCGCTCCACCACGTTCGTGACTAAGAGGCCGCATCGCAAATCGAGGGGCGGATGCTTCACCTGCAAGAAGAAGAAAGTGAAGGTAAATTCAGACCTGAGGAGACTCATATGGAGTTATAAAATTGATACGGTGCAGTGTGACGAAGCGCAGCCCAGATGTGGATACTGTAACCTCCGGAATCTGGATTGCGAATATATCCAAGATGTCCTCTCGACCTCTCGCACTTCGTCGGCAGGCCCATCGTCCAGTGATGAGGTTTCACTATCTACGTCCAACACTCCAGTAGACTTCAACGATCTTTCCATTCAGTTGATGCCATATCTCAGCCCACACTGCCATACATCCATAGGTACACTCACAGCCCTCGACAGTCATCTACTGCAATTCTACAGAACAGACGCCTACCGTACCGTTGTATCCTGCGACGATGCCATCATCCAGAACCTACACAAAGAGACCATACCCCAACTAAGCATTTCTAACCCATTTCTCTTATACGCCCTACTCGGTATGACAGCAACCTACAGCAACAACGTCACGCCCAATAAGACGGTCGAAAAACAAGCCCTACTCTACCGTCAAAAGACCTTTTCCACCTACAAAGAAGCCCTCAAGAACATCACAGCCGAGAATTACGAAGCCGTCCTCGTAACAGGCGGTCTTCTCCTCGCGCTCGTCCCCGGGCCAGCCACCGACACAGACGAAGATCACCTCGAATGGGTGTTCGGCCTCCTCAAACTAAGCGAAGGCCTGCGTATCCTCGCCTCCCTCCGCTGGGCCCAAGGCATCGAGAAACTTTCCGTGTACCCGTTAGTACGCCGGGAAATCAAGACGCTACCACCCCCACCCATCATCGACGTCGCAGCCATCGAAGCGCCCATCGGTCCTCTGGGAACCACGCCTGATAACCCCAATCCAGCACCGACATACACGCCCATCCACTTCCCCACGCAGAACCGCCTCTTTCTTCCACCGCCTTTAATGCAACTCCTCCAAAGCGTTATCCGTGGAAAAGAGTCAGGAACGCTAGACTGGCACCGACCAACCCTTCTCCCCGTCTTCCACGCTCTATCCCCCATCTTCCTATCTCTGTATTACTACGGGCTAGACTCTGACTTCTACGTCCGCATCTTCGTCTGGACATCCTTCCTTATGCCAGACTACCTCCAGTTGATGCGGGACAAGGAACCAAGGGCTCTGGTTCTGTTCGGGTGGTGGTTGGCGCTGGCGAATCTAGCGCCGAAGGGGTGGTGGACGGGGAAGCGGGTTCGTAAGACTATTGGGGCGATGGTGCGGGCGATTCAAGCGCAGCCTGTGGGGGATGATGGGTTTGCAGAGCGGGTTCTGAGGAGTGCGTTGAGGATTGTTGATGTTGTGGATAGGGAGGGGAAGGAGGCGGCGGCTAAGGCGGTGTTTGATGGCTGGCCTGGCGTAAACTGGGAGGAGGGGCCGGTTAAGGCTCAGGCGTGGGAGTATGGCCAGTTGGTGGATCTTGGGGAGTTGGATGGCGGTTTGAATATGGACTCTGTTGTGGGTATTGATCTACAGGAGCTTGGTGTATCGGTTTGAAGTAGATATGAATGCCATTGCGCACGGATTGAATGTAAGCCGCTCATTGTCCTATCTCTGGCGTTGTCCCAGCTGTCTCTGCAGCAACGCTCTTATTTCTTGCTTCCGAGTCTTCCTGGTCCTTCCCGCCTTTTGGCTCCCTGAGCATGCAATATAGCTTGATAGCGTCCTTCTCTCCCTCTCCATCCCTACACTCCATCTCCCTCGCCAACCGAAAGCCAAACTTCTCATAAATGGCGATGTTCGGCTCACTCCTGCTACTCTCCAAATAGCACATTTTCCCCTCCTTATCAGCCATATCCAGCACCTCTTCCATCAATGCCCTTCCCACGCCCTGTCCCTGACACTCCGGCAAAACAGTAACGATGTTGCAGAAATAGTATCCCTTTGGGTCCGTCCATAATTCAGCCTGCGCTTCCGCCTGTCGCGCTTTCCATATCCAATATCGCGTTGTACTGAGGCCACCGCGTCCGTACCATAGGTTCATGCGTATTTGGTTGGCCCAGAGATACCAGTACGAGAGGTATAGCGACCAGGAGTCGGGCTCGGACGTGGGTCGCGGGGGGAGCCACATGGCGCAGCCGAGGATCTTGGACGGGTTCGACGTGTCGCGTGCGACGTGGAAGAGGCCATGTTCGATGCCCCATCGGCAGCGCAGGGTGAGGGATACGCGATTTCGTACTAAAGAGACCTGAGATGGTGAGCAGCGCGCGAGAAGACGGGTACTGAGGTAAGTACCTTTTCGCGATCTGGGAAGACCCAATTATTGTAAGGGTCATTGGCGAAGGCTTGTTGTATGGTATCGATTGCGCCGTCGATATCGGCCTCTTTCATGCGCGTTACTTGGATAGGCATTGTGAGAGGTTCTGTGGTGTAGAGGTGTTTCGAGACTCTTCGTGTCACGGCGGCAGTAGATACGAAGATATATGCGCCAGTCTCAAAACTGGCAAACGTCGATAACCAGCCATGATAGGTGCGGGGAGGTTTGTAGAGCTTGTCGCATGCAACATGTGGATAGGTGATGAGATGGGAAGGTCTAAGCGACAATCACGTGCATTGCGGGGCCTTCCGACGCCTATCTGAGCAGGCGCGTACGAACCATCTTCACCAATCCTATCTGCAGCTATCTTGGCTATGTTACACAGCTTCAGCCTGGTAGCCATGTCAGCTTTCAGGAAGGAAAGTCCGGCCTTGGTGCCTTGGACCTGCGTGACAACGCACACTAAACACCATGGAGACTTCCAAGCAAAGACTCAGACGGGCTATGCGACTTCCTGGCCCATCCATTGGCTTGAAACGATCGAAAACTGATACTACAAATGACCAAGCTCAGCTGCGCCCTGGCGATCAGGCTGAAGGTGGGGTAGAGGCGGCGGCGATGGGTTGGGGCTATAATCTGGACATGCCTCCCTCGCTACGATCCAGAGGTGCTCGCCAATATACGATGCCGTCAGACAGTAGCAGCGTCCCCGATAGATGGGCCGAGATAAGGAGAAAGGCCGAGCTGAGGCGAGCGGGTCAAGGAGCACAGCAAAGCGATGAAGAAATACAAGATGAGGAGACCATCGAAAGTCGCGTGGCACGCATAAAAGCTCGTGTAGCAGAGTTGACACACAGTGCTGAGAGCGAAGTTCCCGTTTCTACTGAGCGGAATCAAGAAAGGCGCTTGCCACTGCACACACGGCGCCATACGGACGGGAACGTGGCCAGCTCCCCGAATCTACAGGCTACGCCAAGTCGCAATGGCAACAATGTAGAACTTGTAGATATCGACAACGCGTCATCTGAGCTGTCCACCATCAGTAAAGCCGCTGAGGTTCCGACAAGAACATCGTCAGCAAATGGAAGCTACATGACTCGGAGTGAACAAGACCCCTTCTGCAGACCGTGGTACTCTGGATCGATACTAAATCGTATACTATCGGAGATGGCTGTTGAAAGCGCTCGGAGTGCCCTTAAAAGCCTTGGGGTCACCGATCTGTGGCTACCCTTGTCAAAACAACTGCTTCGGCGATCCTTGACAGATCCTCACCATATATCAGAGTTCTTAAGATTACAAGACGAACATCTCAGGGTGTTTCTTGCGCGTTGGACAGGAGGTGCTACGGGAGATCACATACCGGGTATGATGTTTAACCATTGCGAGTTCGAAGACGACGAAGAGGTATTTGAGGAAAATCGGTTGCTAGGCGAAGGTATGGTGGGCCTTGTCGAAGAAGTGACCGTCCGGTCCCGCGAGCCACCCATTGTGTGTGTACGGAAGAAGATCGCGAGGCCTAAACAGCTTAAAGCGCACCAACAGATCATGGCTGCTTTCATCCGAGAAGTCAGAGTCATGCGCCAAGTCAATCATCGCCATTGTATTCGCTTTCTTGGGAGTTATACCGACAATGAGTCCGTCAATATTCTCTCAACACCTGTGGCCGATATGGATCTTGCTGCCTTCCTTGATAACCATATCGGAGACCGGGAATGGGCCATACTCTACAAGGGCATTGACTGTCTTTGCAACGGGCTGTAAGTACATGCCAACCTACGCTTCCACATCATCGAGCTTCAAAGAGCGATGATGGGTGGCTGACAGACTGGCTGCAAAGTTGACATAAGGGGGAGCTTTTGCTAATCGCCTTCTAGATTGTATCTCCATGACAACAAGATACGGTAAGTGCGCTGAAGTGTAGTAAGGGAACTGTGGACGAGCTGCGCTACACGATCGCTTTGTCCGCTCCTCCCAATAGACTGCCCTCAAATGGTAGGGCTAATACGACTTAGACACGAAGATTTGAAGCCGCAGAATGTTCTCGTTCATGGCACCAACATATTGCTTACCGATTTTGGGTTCAGGTAAGTCAACCCCGAATCACGACACTACTGTGCTAACCATACATAGCTTGGACTTCTCCGATGACTCTGTTTCGACAACCACTGGACGGCCATCTGCATGGACTATTCGGTATTCCGCGCCAGAAGTTTTGGATTCTGAGCCTCGCAACCGAGCTAGCGACATATTCTCTCTTGGATGTGTTCTGGTCGAGATGATTTCGGGACTTTACGGACGCACTCTCTCCGAAGTCAAGGACTATTGGAAGAAAACTAGTAACGGACAATCCAGTTTTGCACGCAACCCAGAGGCAACATCATCATGGCTCGCACTACTGTCGGATCATCCTGACAGCGGCAGGCTCAAACCCATTGTCGATTACCTGCCAGAACTTCTGGCCACAAGACGCCTTGATCGACCGTCGGCTCAAACAGTCGTCGATAGACTGTGTAAGCTGTGCCTACCTTTTCCTGGCCTTCCGCATCTTGTCAATCCCTGTTGCGGACCACTGCCAGGGTGGATAGACAATATTCATCCTGAGCGCCTCAGAGGAAGTGGGTTGCCAAAAACGCGTGATCCACAGTTTTGGTACGCCCTTCGAAGTAATTTTGGTGCTGTCAAAGACAGAGAAATGACCTACGTCATACTTGACCAGCGTCTCAACCAAGTCGCTACCAAGCACAACTGTTACTCCTCGATCTGGGATGTTCTCCGCCCCAGCAGTATTGCTTCAATTAAGGCTGCATGCGACATGCTCTTCCTTCAATCTAAGAAGACAAAGCCGATACTAGATCTCCCAAGTAACCAGACTGTTTTATCGACAGAGCTCGACCTAAAACATGTGCTGACGCAGGTACTGGAAGCATATACCTTGTGGAAGGCTATATTCACCGCGCGAAGTGTACAAATTCCGACACCCGAGACGCAATGGCTACCGAGAGGCTTACTCCCTTTCCAATTAGAAGAACTTACAACTGTAACGCATACGCGCACAATACAGATTTCAATGGTTGACCACGGCCATTGCCCCAAAGACGATCGCTACTTTGGGTCCATTTTCTACATTTTGACATTCAAGATCTCGGTAGAAGGATACGAGCCTTCGAAACTGGGTGCGCCTTTCGTGGACCTAAGTATGGCAATATAGCTGAGCATCACATGGGGGTTGGCTGCAATAGCTGCAAAAGATTTACGGCGTAGAAGAACAATTAGTGTAGTGATTTACCAGAGCAAAGGGAACAAACGTCAGCAATAGCAGTACTTAGTAGATGCATATTACCTCGCGTACGGGTAACTGCTTGGAAGTTAAGGTGCCCCCCTACTGTAGCCATGATTTGGCCACACAAGCGATCTGAATCATCCTTAGGCGACATTACCAGACTTACACATGTCATCTCATTTCACGTCTCCCAGATTGATCCGTTCCTGATAAACTTTAGCGTCATGACCACATCAAGGGACTCTTGATGACGAAAAGAAAAGAGGACAATGTCAGTAGAACTGATGGTGTACGGAAGTCAGGTGCGAAGCGAAAATCTATGTCATGAGCTGCAATACAAGCCGTGCAAACTAAGTCGCGAGGTCCAATTGTATTCCATGGTCCACACGCTCAAAAGTACGCTGCGCATCAAGCGTACGCTTTTTGTGTGACTCAAAAACCTAGATGCGCAGACGCATGCTTACCTTTTCCCTTAACCAGCATCACGACGAATCAAGCAACCAAAAAGCTGCATGATTGCTTTTCGTGACCAAGACATTCCGCTTCCGCGATAACGCTCATACACACGCAGCACACACACATCGTGATAGTTCTACACACGAACCCACATACTCACCGCTCGAACCCAAAAGCCCATACTCACACATGCGCTTATGTCAACATGTTCGCACAAAGCAAGCCCCGCACTACACTACAGGACACTACCCCAACCCCAGCCCAACGTCTATTCGTCATGGGATCGACAGTCCTGCATGGCCTGGTCAGTCAGCCTACCGAACCCAGTCCAGCCCAGTCCGATGACACCCTCCCGCACTGTGCGCGGGCGAAGCGAGTGAGCATGAGCGGTTCCGGATAGCGAATGCGAGTATGCATGGGGAGCTGGTAGACCTGTTTTGACCGGGCCGTTGTTGGGTTGGGAGTTGATGGCAGATGCGCGTGTGTGGCATGACATGTGTGGCGAGGAGGCGCTGCTTTTTTGTTCCGGGGGGCTATGCTATGGGATGCTGATTCTGCGGTGATTGATGTGGCGAGGGACATGTACATGGTCTTCGTACTTGGGCTGCGTAGTCGGCCCGCTTTGTACATGTTTGTGTATACTTATCGGTGGATGGAGGTTACCGGCGTTGTTGATACGAACGTCTACCGTGTTGAGTCTATTGAATATTTTTGGTGGTGTTAGGACATGAGTAGGCACATGATGTCAACGTCCGAACGTCGGCATTTTCCTCCTTTGCGATCAACATGTCGACGATCTCTGTTCAACATCTTAGGCTCTCGCTTACGGCGATGTAGTATACCGTGAGATATCAGCTGATTCGCCGGGTTGTACAGCCTTGTGTCCGGCTTTTTCCTTGAACCGTGGCGCTGTAAAGGTTAGGTATGAGGAACAGGCAGCCAACCTTGTTCGGATATAGAGCATGGATGCAAGCGCGAATACGGAATGAGATAGGTAGGATACTTCGTGAGCTTCCGCTTAAAGGCACGATTATCGGCGTTGCATCCGTAGCGACGATCCGGAAATTCTTGGTTCCGAGCTGTTACCTGGCATTTTAACATGCACATGGAAGGCACAGTAAATAGCAATAATTTCCCAGGGTGCTGAGGCAGCAGGACCAGGCCGTGTTGCAAGATGCATCTGCCGGAGGACAGGCGGAGACGGGTACTGTACGCAGCGCAGCATAAGTGGGCAGCTAACAAGACGCAACTAGAGATTCGAAAGCGAGAACCTGAGCCATCCTTGGATCATCGTGGTACTTGTTGATCAACTGAGAGAACTGGCCTCCGCAAAGTCGAGACCATCCGTATGACAGCGTATAGCGCCTGCATGTACCCTTGAACTGTAAAGGGTGGGTAACTATAAGGGCAGATAGTACCACTTGGTGTGCATACAGGCGACCCGCTGGCGGCCGACGATTCAGTGTTGGGCAGTCAGGCAGCCAGTACGTGGGAGTGCGAGAGCGATCGGAAAGAGCGGAAGCAGGAAAAAAGTCGATGAAACGCAGTCCGGAAAGTTAAGCCACCGTGTTGTGTGGTGCGGGTAGTCCTTGAGCGGTCTGTTTGGGGCAACTCCAGGTCATCCTAGGCACCGGATTACTGTCAATGCTAGTAGCCAAGAGGGGTGGTGTTGCGAATGCGGGCGCTGATGGAGCGCGTACTAGCCGCATCGCCGTGAAAACATCGGTGTGTTCGACAAAGAGGCAAGCCGGGGCTGCCGTGGTCATCAGACAGGCTGGGAGGCAGGTGCGAAGGCGGCAAGTCGGGCAATAAGCGACGTGCGTGTACTCTACGCAGAAACCGATCTATGTCCTGGGCGCCCAAAAATAGGGCGTTCAATTTGCTGAGACGTACAAATCAGGACCATGCAGGTGTGACTGCTTCTGCGCATAATCGTAGGCGAATAAAGAAGGTACTTCGGGTCGTCGCTCAGTGGTGGAAGTGGACTTTTGGGATCGCCACGTAAGCACAATTTAGCCTAGAGCATGTCTAGAATAAGAAGATAGGCGATTTGCCGATCTGGTGAGGTGGAAAAATTCATGGCGCATGCATGGCATCCGTGGGCCCGTTTGCACCGTCATACACCTGACGGGGAACTACTTGCATAGGAGCTTCCGCAAGTAAGTCTCAGTTGGCAACTCAAGGATGGTCACCTCCACACAAAGGACGGCCCTTGTCAGCAGTGATGCACGCAGTAGTACCGAGCCTTGGATTGCATTTGACACATCGCCTGATGTAACAGCGGCCGAGTGCATGACTGGCGGGCACCAAGTTGTGTCTTACAAACGAATAGCAACTGCTATATAGGGTTCCGACTAGGGGTGTGCTGCTGGAATATTAAAGCGGAGTGCAATTGCCGGATTGGTGCGTAGTATTACAAGACTGAGATCGGTGGTGTAACTGTAAGCGGTAAGCATAATGCTAGAGGTGGCCCGACCTCGGATATTCTATGTGGCAGACGTGCTGATCGAGAAACTTTGCTCTATATTAGCTGCCATGTCGACACAAGTTGCAGCAGCAAGCGCCTCAATACACCCTGATTCATGATGACGGCCGGATCCATCGCTCCTCAGGATGCATTGTTGTATTGGCTTTGAGGCGGTTGGTGGCAGCTAGGTACCGAACCTAAAGAGGTGCGACAGGCAAAAGGGTCGCGGTGGAGCGGCAGAAGGAAAACAAACGCTCGTACTGCGTGAAACCGAGTCACCGCCGGGCCCTGGTAAAGTGGAGAAGATTTTGCGGAGATGCAGGCTGGCTTCAGCTGCTGCGTCGTAAGACAATTAGCATGGGATCGCCCGACAGAAGTTTCATCAGTTGCGCGCTCGGGTGAAGCGAAGGTACAGACGTGTACACGATACCCACGGTCCGGCATGCTCGTGCGGCAGTCTTGGCTAGGTAAAAGTGATGCAGAGTCATGGCTTGTTCTTGTTGATGTACCAGCAACTTGTACACACAAGCGAGTCAACGGCTGTGAGCTGGCACAGTGGCGGTCTGACTGGTCAGACTCGTACCCCGGCTACGAGCGCATATCGTGTATGTGGAAATGCCATCTTGCCCCATGGTCGTAGCCCTAGTGATGTTGAGTGGGGTGTCGGTGTCCGATTTCCTCTTCGTGCGTCACACGCGCATGTTCGAGATGCTGTACCGCTGGTGCTTGCCTGAGGTGTGCAGTAGGACTTGTTTCCGGCAAATATCCAAGATTGCGTCGAGCACAACTTGCAGCAGTAAGGAGGCTCACCGACGAGCTAGTGTGGCTGCTGATCCAAGCAGACAGGAGGCTTCAACGGAGGACGGCGATTGGACCAGGGGCTCTCGACGTTGAGCAAGTGGGCTCGCGAGCCGCCTGGTGAGGCTAATGCTCGCTGGTGGGCAAGGATAAAGTGCCGCCGCGCCCGCAAAGAGAATTTCGCGTTCGCATGGGCCGACCATGATCTAGAACACATCACACGCAGACAGGCCGATACCATGCTAAAGGATCGTCGTCGTCCACAAATAATGCAGCTACCAAGCCGACCGAGTTCTTTTTCATGCAACTGGTTCACATCGTGCTTCACCTCGCGCTTGGTTAGGGTGCTTGCGTGACCGGGAAACGACCTATAGCCTGGCCACGTCTAGTGAATGGTGTTGACAAAACTCAAGGGAACGCCAGGATGATAGACTATCATGCTGAAGGTAACGTCGTGTCAACATGACCATGGTTGATATGGCAGGGCGGGCCATGAGGGACTTTGTGGTTGGTTTGAGCTAGCGTAGCGATGCCGCTCATACCGTGATTCTCTGCCTTTCCAGCATTCTTAGAGATGATGCGACGCCACGTTTGAGACCCACTCGACTCGTGGGCCACCCGCTGATACGTCATTAAAGGGTTTTTCTTCCCGTGTTGCAGATTGCCGGACTGGGGCTGTCAGCGCCTGGCTTCGACACACTGGCACTGTGATGAGTGCAGCACCCTTGCCGCGTCCATCCAAGCGCATCCTCCATGATAATGCCGGAGAAAGCCTTTTTGAAACCACAGTTTTCACAATCTCGATTGATGGAGCTTACGGCGTACAGCACGGCTAGGAGGCACGGGATTCCAGATAGTGCAATGTCTGTGAATGGCGCTGTGCCCAATGCTGCGCGGCCTATTGTCTCGAGCGGATCATCTGAACGCGAAACTATGGGAAGACGCGGGTCAGCACCCAGCACCTCGATTCGACGATTCGTAGATTGAGCGTACAAGATCAAGCGACGCTTTGCAGAGCGGGTTCCGGTGACAGTTCGGTGCTTACTTTTCCTGTTCACATATTCGTCTCGTGATGCACAAGTGTACAGCTGCGCCGCAATTTTTCGTGGATCAAAATGACCGAGGCCGCGTGCTGCAGAGTCAGACTGGCTGGGTGTGATACGCGGGATGTGCTGAATTACGGAACACGGTGCATTGATTCGTTCCC